GTATCTCAAGTGGAAGCTTTTTCTCAATTTGATACCCAAAGTGGATATGGTGTCAAAAAAGGGCCTGAAGTACCCAATTAGTCTCAAATAAGGACCCGAAGTGCTCAAAAGTCTTAAATAACGGCTTGGGTCGCCGGCTAGCCAAAATTGACTGCCGGCCGGCGAGAATGTTATTGTTCCGGCATCGGAACAATAACTTTATTATTATTTTTTTCTGTTTTTTTTCTTTTCCTTTTCTTTTTTTTTTCTTCTCTTCCTCCACCGGCCATAGCCGGGGCCGGCGGAGGTCGCCCACCTCAGGCGGAGGCGGCCCTCGCCGGCGTCGAGCGAGGGCCGCCCTCGCCTGGGCTGGGCGAGGTCGAGCCTCGCCAGATCTGGCGAGGGCTCGACCTCACCGGCCGCCGGGCGAGGCCCCTGCCGCTGCGTGCGAGACCCACCTCGCCCGACGCCGGCAAGGTCGAGCCTCGCCGCGCCCGCGAGGTCGAGCCCTCGCCGATCCGGCGAGGCTCAACCCGCCGCTGCGGGCGAGGCCAACCTCGCCGGCGAGGCTCGACCTTGCCGGCGTCTGGGCGAGGTGGGTCTCGCCCGCAATGGCGAGGCCGGCCTCGCCCGACGCCGGCGAGGTCGAGCCTCGCCGGGGCCGGCGGGGGCCGAGCCCTCGCCGTAGATCCGGGCGAGGCTCGACCTCGCCGGCCACCGGGCGAGGCCGACCTCGCCCGCCCCAGCGAGGCGGCCTCGCCCGACGCCGGCGAGGGCCACCTCCGCCGGCCCCGACTATGGCCGGCGGAGGAAGAGATAAAAAAAAAAGGAAAAGGAAAAAAAACATAAAAGAAAAAATAATAAAAAGTTACTGTTCCGGTGCCGGAACAGTAACATTCTCGCCGGCCGGCGGGCAATTTTGGCCGACCGGCGACCCAGACCCTTATTTGAGACTTTTTGGGCACTTCGGGTCCTTATTTGAGACTAATTGTGAACTTCAGGCCCTTATTTGATATCGTGTCCACTTTGGGTACTAAATTGAGAAAACGCTTCCATCTGGGGTACCAAAATGGAATTTTCCCCAACAAAGTCGTCCATGCATGAATATATAAAGAAAGGGTAAGAACTTTTATATTTCTGAATAGCAATTTTATGTTGACTGGGTCCATCTTATGTGGGGCCCCGCCAGCATAAATCAATAAAAAGAAAAGAAACAAAAGTCAAAAAAGTCAAAAAGAAGAAAACAAAAAGAGAGTGCTTCGTGCAAGTGTGCCCAAGAAGGGAGAGAGAAAAAAACACGTAGAGTGACTTTACCGAGAGCTCACCGAGAGAACAGGGGAGAGAAAGGAAGAAAAGGTGCTGTGGCTTATGATCCCGATTCGAGGGTCAAACGTTGTCGGAATTGATTCAAATTTTAGTATGTCGTTCGTGAGACTGAGGGCTACGAGTTGATCGATTTTGTTCGTTGAGAATTTTCTCTGAATTCTCCAATCGCAATAGGATTTTCTCCTCAATTTATGTAAATCCACATTCGTGGTGATGAAAATGATATTGTATTATTGATATTGTGTCTCTAGTGTGTGACTAGAGAAGAGTTTTGTGTATCATACTATTTTTGGTGATTAGTGAAAGTTTTTTGGGGCGGTCCGTGGTTTTTCTCTCATTGGGTTTCCGTGTTAAATCTTGGTATTGTTGTTGCATTTGTCTCCTTATTATTACAAGGTTGAATTGCTGGAATATTGTTGGTTGTTGTTAGAATTAAGTTGATTTCGGTCGGTTAATTGCGGGGGAGATATTGATCCTGGATTGGGCTTGGTTTTTGGTGAATTGTTGCCCTGATTCTCCCCAACATTTTATTAATAGCCATTAGTGCGCGCTTTGGAATATTCGAAGGGCAGTCAAGGCTAACTATGATCTATGTCGCGACACTTCGAGATACTCATCTCCTGTCGCGACACTTTTATTACTTATTCTAGTAATGCACATCATTGGACGTTAAGTTTTAGTTTGAGCTGATTTTTAAGTGCCTGAGTGCATGGATGGAACGGGGTGTGCGACGACATATATCGTCTTTCTTCTTGTCTCTTCTTTGATGAGTATATTCGCCTTGTGGGTCTTTCCCTTCTGGCAGAGATCACCAGTAAATATCCGTCCTTAACAAAGCGACAGATCTCGGTCGTTGGACCACTTTTGTGGCCTGTTGTTATATGTATATGTCTAAGGCTCATTAGTACATCACTGTAGCCTCTCTTGTTTTTGATAAACGTCGTTATAGTCTCTCATAGTATTGCAGAAGAAGAGGAGGACGAAGAAGAAGAAGGAGAAGGAGATGGCACTCTGTTCTCATCCTTGCCATGTCTGTGCATCTCTTCACAAGCCATCCTTTTCTCAATGTCGTAGTTTTGATCGCCTGAAGCTGCTGGTACCATCGGATCCGAAGGTAATACTTGTAGAGAGGATGTCTTCGTTTCTTTTGGCTGAAAAACTTGCTGTCCAATTTTAGATAATTCATTCTATTTGTTTTTTTTGGTGTTTCACTTGGTTATATTCTAGGCGAAACGTTCTCTATGTGAAAAGATTGATTCTTTCTGACTTCTAAGATTCGTGAATCGGTCTCGAGAACTCGCTTACCATATAGCATTATATCGTTTTACCAGGTCTTGCATCTATAGGGTCGAGTCCTTTTTTTCTTCTTTTTGGCTCTCATGATTAGCTCCTCCCGCCTACTCTTGCTATGGAAATCTTCCCTATGTGGCATGTCAGCTAAACGCCCTTAGCTTGGTAAGGTCTTAAAGACGCGTGCTCATTCCCCAATCTCCACATGATTTCAAGATTTCGAGAAAACAGTTCATATAATCATGTGAGACACATGGATCCTTATCACCCAGTCTCCTTTAACTCATTGACATTGCACATGCAACCCCAGATTCAGATTCAGTTTCATTCATGACCTTGCTAAAGTATTTGTCTCCCAGTCTGTGTGGAAGATCAGGTTGCCACAGAAGCCATGGCCAGAACATGTGCTTGAAGCCCTGAAGAGCACTTCGAGGAAAATGCTGGAGGCTTTCGCGGATTCCATTTTTCGGTTCGTTGATCAGCCGTTGCTTCCCTCTCAGGTACCAGAAAACTTGAATGACAGACGTATGAGTCATGGAATGAAATAGAAAAGGATTGAAATGGTTAGTTTTTTGTGTTGAGAGAAACAATATCTGGATAGGAGATTCCAATGTGAGACTTGCAATTGATTAACAAAATGGTGTAATAAAGATTCCATTAGGCATAGAGCTGGAATGGAAAGGTTACACCATCGATCCAAACATGCTAAGTTGATTTTGAAAGCAACTTCCATGTCATATTGTCATATTCTGGAAAAAGTATCACTACCAAAAAACTTGATCGCTGTCCACTTCAAATATATCAAGCATCACCAATAATTAGAGTTTAGATACTCTAAACCTCAAAAACAAATTTGGTTAATTGGTCAAATGCAAATACTTTGTTGAACAAAATGATTTGGATCGTACGTGTCCACTCGAAATAATTTTTATAATAAATATTTCTTTTCATCTTCAAATGTGAACCTGATACTTCGAAACTTTAGACATTATTGATGTTTTATCGAAAAAATATCATACTTTTAACTATAAAAGTAAAAGCAATTATCAGGTGAAGGTCGATAGCCCAAACTTAAACCAAATACCCCTTATGATGTAAAGATTTCAGTCAACTAAAGGACACATAATATATCAACAGTGGTCCATGTACTCTTATATTATATTGCGATTTACGAGATACTTATGCTCATCATGATCTTGACAAACTATGAAATAGTGTTTTTATGCCACCACAGAACAAACTGCAAGATTGGTTTGCAGGAATTATTATTCTATTCCTAATTTATTTCTTTTGAGACGATCATTCGATCGTTTTCGCGTGTTCCTTGAGAGGCCAAGGAATAACTATTAAATGCAGCCAATAATACTACTATTTTATATAAAAAATCAACTTGCATTTTTAAATGATGAAATTATTTTAAAATAACTCAAAATTAGTAAATAGAGATTAATCATTTTTGTTTGGTTCTTTTTAAATATTTACTATTATTTATTTTTATAGTAGATGGATAATATATGAAATTATAACCTAAAATCAATTTACAAATCATAGAGGACATAAATATAATTAAAATCCCAAATTTAGTTACTTATTACCGTAACTTAAAATGTATAAACTATTTATATTGATATATTATATTTACTCATAATTAAATCTTAATTCATAGTTATGAGTCTAAGCATAATCTATTTTTATTAGTAGATTATATATACTCATAACATCTTAATTCATAGTTACCAGTCTGACTCATTATTAGTTTAGGTATACACTTTTTATAATATGAGTTTATAATTGAATTATAATTATTACTTAATTCTCTTTATAATAAATTATTCATTAAGAGAAAAGGGTAATTTATCATTTATTGTCAATTATTTGATTAGAAGAATATTTTATTTGATTAATTTTACTGTATAAATCATAGGGTCACCAAGGAACCTATACTATTAAAAAATTATAATTTTTAGCTTATTAATCTATACAATATATTGTTGTAAATTAGTTTAACAGCGTTATTATTTGTATAGAGAAATAATTGTTCTTTTATGATTTTGATGCTATGATTATAGAAGAAGCTAGACTTTGATTATATCTCATTAAAGAGTATACTAGGTGGGTATTTCTTATTATTTTCAACTTATTCCCCATGCAACTACAGTAAACCAAAGAAGAACATAGTCTTCGAAAAAATGTTTTATTCTACAAACCAGACTTATTGTAATACAATGAAATTGATTGGAATTATCATAGATCATATAGAGTCTAGACATATTATCTGCTCAGTTAAAATGGCTATTCCCATTTAAATACATTTCTACGTACCAAGCACACCTTTAGAATACTGCCAGAGATACAAGTAGCGATTCTGGTCGAGTTGTCTAACTTAGAGTAAGGGCATTGAATGCATGCAGAAAAACTTTGCTCCAGTTGAAGAAATTGGCGAGCAAACTGTAGTCACTTGCTGCGAAGGCAACATTCCTATCAATTTTCCGCAGGGAGTTTTCGTCAGGAACGGTATGCAAACTGCTTCAATCAATATCATAAGTTTTAGTTTATCTTCTTCGACTTCCATAATTAGAGAACACAAAGTACGATGGCATTCTCAGCAATGCTTGTAGAAGCAAAGTGTGACTAGCTTCTCAAAATAGCTGACAAATGGGTAATGTATGATGTTGCAGGTCCAAATCCTCTGTTTGGCGGTCTTAAATCCACGGAATCAATTTTTGGAAGATCAAGCCAAACATGGGTCGAGGGAGAAGGAATGCTTCATGCGATATATTTCGAAAAGGACTCCGGAGGAAATTGGCTACTATCCTACAAAAACCGATATGTCGAGTCCGATACTTTCAAGTTAGAGAAGCCACAAAACAAGCCGTCTTTTCTTCCAGCTGTCGAAGGAGATTCTTGGGCTATTATGGCTGCTTATCTCCTGAACACTGTATTACTATTCTTCCCTTCATTTTAACTTAATTATTCTCCAAATATAAACATTATTTATTGGCCTTTATGTAAATTGTATGGCTCTACCTTCAGCATAAGTTGAGTTATTTCATCTTGGCAGCTTAGGTATGGAGCAGTGAATAAATACATGAGCAACACTAACGTTTTCGAGCACGCTGGGAAAACATATGTGGTTGCGGAGAATTACGTGCCTCAAGAAGTAGATATTGCCACGTTGGAAGCTCGTGGCAATTGGAACTTCGACGGGGACTGGGATCAACCTTTCACTAGCCACCCAAAGGTTCGATCTTTCAATATGTACAGTATGCCCTCTCAAATATACGGTTGATCTAATTTCATTGATTTGCAAGTCATAACTTTGTACAGAGAGCGCCTGTTTCGGGGGAGCTGGTCACCATGGGAATAAATGCTTCGAGACCTTACTATGTTGTGGGCGTTATATCTGGTAATTCGCTCTATCTTGATTTCGTGACATTGTCACATTATGCAATAAGCATCAAGGATAAGACCATGAGTCTTGAGATTGGTTAATTGTTTCAGCTGATGGGAAGAAACTCAATCATAAGGCCGATCTCGAGTTTGATCGGAGTGTTCTCAGCCATGAAATTGGTGTCACACACAGGTGAGCACTCTAATTTGGAAACGTCGGACGGCAACAATGTACGAGATTAACCAATGATCCACTTTATTTTAGGTACAATGTGATCATTGACCATCCCCTTGTATTTGACATGAAGAGACTTGTCAGTGGTGGACCGTGAGTGAAATCCAAAAGCTTGAACTCTTTATTTTCTCGTATTTTTAGCCATAATTGTCAAGCACGTCTAGCAGCTTTAAATCAATCGCTTTCTTGGAATGTAGGTTACTTAAGTATGACAAGGAAGGGTATGCGAGGATAGGGGTGATGCCTCGTTATGGAGACGCGAGTTCAGTCCGATGGTTTTATATAGACTCCAGCTGCACATTTCACATATTCAACTGCTTTGAGGATGGGGATGAGGTATATTTTTCTACAAGCCTAATTTGGGGGTTAAAAATCTCTTAGACTAGGCCTCAACTTAAACGATATTGCTTGACAAAGCAGGTTGTGGTGAGAGGATGTAGAGCTCTTACATCGGTGTTTCCAGGTCCCGATTGGGGTATGAACAAGTTCGATTGGTTCTCGAGAGGATTCAACTTCAGAGAACCGGTGGATGCAAATGCTAATGAACATGGAGGCTATCTGTTTACCTGTGTCTATGAGTGGAGATTGAACATGGAAACTCGGGAAGTTCAAGAGTCGAGTCTTACGGGCACTGAAATCTCTGTGGACTTCCCTTTCATAAATGCCGATTTTACTGGCCTGCGTAACATGTATGGTTATGCTCAAGTCATCAATTCAAAGTCAAGCTCTGAATGTGGTAATGCAATGCCAGTCTCCACTCTCTAGTGCATGTCCACTTGCCCAAAGTAGCGCATAAGATCAGTTTCATAATGCTTATGCATCACTTGTTTCATTCAGGAATGGCTAAATATGGAGGTCTAGTGAAATTATACTTCGACGAACCTTGTCCTAGGCTATCCGACTTTGAGGTATTAGTGAAAGTTTTTCGAGTCACTCTAATTATCCATTGCTCATGTCGAAATGTACCTTACTGCGGCCTTGAATTAGAGAGGAGGATATCGTGAGAACTCGATGAAGGTCGAGTACCATAATTTCGAAAAGGACAGCTTCTGCAGTGGGAGTGTTTTTGTCCCTAAGAAAGACGGTGCCGGAGAAGACAGTGGTTGGATTGTCTCTTGGGTACATAATGAAGAGACGGATGAGTCCCAGGTTAAGTTTGGGAGTTTCAATACAATCATCATGATGCTTTGCCCATCGGTAACAATGTTCGATATGACTTTTAGATTGTGAAATTTGCAGGTTCACGTGATTGATGCGCAGAAGTTTGAAGGCGAGCCGGTAGCCAAAATCACTCTGCCTCAAAGGGTACCCTATGGGTTTCACGGTGCCTTTGTCTCGATACCGAATTGACGATTGGGACACCAGATCTCATGTACAAGTCATGGTAGTAGGCCTTACTTTTCTCATCAGATAATAGGTTTTTTGCATTCAGTATGTGATGTTCTTTCTAACTATCTGAGCCTAGTTTTGTGCAAGCATTTCCTGCTTATTAGTAGCCGCATCCGCCCCGGAAAAGTAGAGAGTGAAGAGCCCGGCTACCTCGAACCACGTCGCTCTTTAATCTGCTGTACACACAACGAATAGTAAGGATTCATTTGTTTGAAGGAAAATTGTTTCCGGGAAAATTCTTTTCTAACCAATAACAAGCTTAGATTGGGGAAAAATAATTTCCCTCTTTAGTAATACAGAAAACACTTTTTCTAAACTACCAAACAAATGAAAACTAATTGTTTTCCTTGCGTGTATCAGACGAGAGAGAATTGAAATCCCACCTTAACTGGAGGCTCCAAGGCCATTGACCACATAAAACATGAAGAGAATCAGAAACTTGTAATGGTATAAAGTGATTCACAGCAAATCTTGATTTGCTTCGTAAACTTTTGAGGGTCAAACTATTATCGCATGAACGAGCTGTGATTACAAAGCACGAATCTACGTACTATTCCCTTTCCCAAAGAACGGATATTTTCTACATACTGGTAAAATTCTGAAAGAGTCGGGCAAATATTAGAAGATAGTTGGTAAGCAATTACCAGACACCTGATTTTCCGGCAATTTGTTGGTGATATCGACACTTTTATGAAATTATTCACTTTTTACCGGTTTACAAATTACCAACTTTTATTTGTCCTTCTTACCAACACTTCAAATTTACTAACTTATATGAATTTTACCTATATTTGTTTGAGTGACTTGTCCAAGTTTTTTCCTACCATAATATTAATCAATTTTGAGTTACCAACTCTCATTTGAGTTAATTACCAAAGTATATATGGTATATTTAGTTTATCAACTTTTACCAACTTTTATTTATCTTTCATATAAACGCTTCAAATTCATCAACTCTTATATGAATTTACAGTCCTTACTTGGGTGACTTCCAGCTTTTAGAAGGGTTGCTAACTAGTTTTGATTTACCAACTCTCATTTGAGCTGCTTCTCAACATTTATTTGGTTTTTTTTATAAATTGACCAACCTTTTCATTCAATTATAAACTTTACTTGTCTTGATTACCAACCCATTGGATTCACCAACTATTTTAGAAATTAGCAACCTTAACTAGAATCAATTCTTAAATTACCAATTCTTATTTGAATCAATTATTGACCGTTTATTTGGTTTTCCTTTTTTGACTACAAATTTTTTTTATTTTTGAAAAAAAAATTCTTATAGTAACAAATTTTCATACCAAGGCTTTGGATTTATCAGTTATTACATGATATTACTAACCTTTATTTGAGTTACTTGATTACCAATTTTTTTCCAATGAAGTTACTAACTAATTGTGGGTTACCAACTCTCATTTGTGTTATTTATTGACATTTTTTTAATTTTTTTCACTTTACAATCTTTTCTATTGAGTTACTATTAGAATGATTAAATATTAAACTACGTTTTCATCTAACAGCTTAAGTTTTTAGAATAGTCGACAGTGATTCCACCAAATCGCACATAGTATCATAACTGGAGATCCTGAGTTCAGATCTTTCCAGACCCCATTTACCTCCCCAATTAAATATGTCCACGCGGCAAAAAGTTCAAACTATGAATAATTAAATATTAAATCACGCCTTAATCTAATAGCTAAAGCTCTTAGAACATCTTTAATCTAATAGCTAAAACTTTTAGAATAGTGATTTCATCAAATCTCATAGTTACCACTTTTACTTGTCTTTTTTTTTTTTGACACTTTTACTTGTCTTACTCACTAACTTTTTGAATTTGCCATTTCTTTTTAAAAATCACTAACCTCAATTAGAGTGATTACCAACTTTCTCTGATTATGTTACCTTGTTTTATCATGTTGACTCTTATTTGAGTTAGTTAGCTAAGTTTTTTCACTTTTTTATTGAAAATTGCCAACTTTTTTTTTTCTATGATAAAAAAAACTTCTTCTATCGTTTACCAAATATTGTTTACCAACTTTCTCGGATTATGTTATCACCTTGTTTTATAATATCAACTCTTATTTGAGTTAGTTAGCTAAGTTTTTTTCACTTTTTTTGTTGAAAATTGCCAACTTTTTTTTTTATATCTAATACTTCTTCTATCGTTTACCAAATATTGTTTACCTTTCGTACCCCCTACTAAAATTTATCAACTATTATACGAAACAATCGGTCTTTATTTGTGTGATGTATTAACAAATTTCCAATTAAGTTACCAACTAGTTTTTAGGTTAGAAATTTTCATTCAATATTATTTGCTTACCAATAATTATTTATTTGTCTTAAATTTACCAGCTTTTATAATGAGTTACACTTTCATTTACCGTTGTTCATATTCAACAACTCTTTTACAAATTACCAACCTCAATTAGAGTTGTCACAACCCTCCATAGATGATACTCGAGGGTTTAACGGATTGCTAGGTGGGTGTGTAGAACCCTTTTTCGAGGTGACGCTTATGCTTCACACGAGTTCTCTCAAGCCCTACCGACCGCAACTTGGTTTTTCGTTTATTATTAATGGAATGAGACTAGAGTAGCTACTAACCTATTATAGATCAGTTAGGAATCGAATAAGACGTAGGAGGGCACATTTGTCTTGCGTACCAGAGATTTCGAATGCAGGGACTTGATTATGTTAGTTTTATCTAACGACCACTATAGGTATTTTTTTCTCTTTAGTAAAACATTATTTCATGCAATCTTTTCCGATTTATATTCCTGAACACGTAAATCTAGACGGCCATGCATAAGTGTGCAAGTAATAAAAGAAACAATCAATAGTACATATCAATAAAGGTAAAAAAAGAAAAAAAGAAAACAACTCGAGCCGTACCAGACAAAATTAATCCAGGGCCCTGTTATAATGAACCGCATGAAAAAACGAACGTCCTAAATCTAGGAATGATATGTGATGCATTTTTCAATGTGACTTTTTGTAATTTTCAGTAAGTAAACATGCACTAATCTAAATGTATGCATGCAAAAGAGTCCTTATTTTGTTACATGAGATGCCTCCTAAAGATAACCAAACATGCAAAAGGAAACTTTTATTACTTTCAGTTTTGAATATGTGCGTCATGGAACACGAAATGTCAAGATCACTAGTCAAATAAAAAAATTTTCACCCAGCGTGACATCGAATGACACTGTTGGGGAACTAAAGCATCCGAGAGACTTCACATCTTAATAAGCACCAACGTAGGCCCAGCATCACATGCAGACATATCAAGAAAATTCAGGAATAGCAAGTATCACTTCCCTTTCACTGTTCTAGATTTCACTGGCTTGCCAAACAAGAGCAGTTTCACTCAAGTCATCAATTGAGGGGCAAGCTCCGAATGAGGTAATTCTCAAGCCGCCCATGTTTTTTCTCTTTTCGTTCGCCTCATTCTGCAAATCAACACGCGCACCATGTGAGAGTATAGGATCTGTTCGTTATATTCGCGCACTTTTCGGTTCAGGAATGGCTAAATACGGAGGTCTAGCCATATTGCACTTTGATGAACCTTGGCCTGTGCTATCTGGTTCTGAGGTAACAAAAGTTTGAATCTAAAACTAACCATCCATTTTACCTGTACGAATGTACTTAACGTCGCCTTCAATTGGGGAGGAGTGAATCACGAGAAGTTGACAAAAGTCGCGTACTGCAGTTTCGACCAGAACGATTTCTGCAGTGGAAGTGTTTTTGTCCCAATAGAGAGTGCCAGAGAAGACAGCCCCTGGATTGTCTCTTGGGTACACAACGAAGAGACAGACGCGTCCAAAGTAAGTTTGGAGTTCAAAACAATGGAAATTGTAATGAGATTTCGATGAAATAAAGAAGTTTTGCCTGCTGACAACAATGTCCGCTAATGATTGCAAGATAACTCGCTGGTTGATGTGACTGATGCAGAAAAGTTCGAAGGCAAGCCAATGGCCAAAATCACTCTGCCTCGAAAGGTACCTTATGGATGTCCAGGAGCCTTTGTCTCGTCACAGAATTGATCACAGGATACCACATTCGATGTACCTAGTCATTGTAATTGGCCTCGCTTTTCTCATCAGATAGTGGCTTTTATTTGGCTTGTACTCTGTGATGTTCATATTTCTGAGTTGTGTCATGCAATAACTAATGGACGAGAATTGTCCTTGTTAAAGAATGTGCAGAATAGAAAGGTTAAAGTTTTTAACGTGGGCAAAAGAATTTTTTTAACCAAGTCTTTAATAGCGTGTCATCAGATCTTCGGGCCGTTAAAACTGTGCACCAAGCTCCACCAAAGTACTGGTCGATACTGCAGTTCGAAAATCTAAGCTGCTAGGAAATAACAAACAAGCCGGTTACATGTGTTCTGCTTGAGGGAGAGTCAAGTTCCACCTTATCTCAATTACATGAAAGCTGTGAATGTGAAGTCAGACTAGGATTAATGATGGGATAAGGATACTACGAGTGTCATAACTTTCGTACGGCGCTCACTTGAATGCCATAACTTTTTTTTTGCTCACTTGAGTACCACAGTGGAGTAAAATAGATTATTTGAGTATCACTTCTGGCGAAAATATATCACTTGAGTGCCATTTCCGGCAAATGAGCTGACTTGGATTTTTTAATTAATTTTTCATTCGACATGGATTTTTTTAATGTTATTTTATTGATTTTTTAAAATTTTCTTTATCTTTATCTTTTTATTTATCTTTTTTTTTTCAAGGTTGGCGAGGCCCACCGGTGACCCTCGCCGGCGGCCACCTCGCCTGCGACCCGCGAAGGCTCTCGCCAAATCCGGCGAGGTCGTCTTGCCCACGGCCGCAAACGCCCTTGGCGAGGCCATCGCAGCCTCACCGGCTATGGGCGCAACGGCGAGGCTCTCGCCAAATCTGGCAAGACCGCCTTACCCACGGCGATGAAGGCTCTCGCCAGATCTGGCTAGGCCGCCTTGCCCGCGGCCACAAAAGCCCTTGGCAAGGCCATTGCGGCCTCGCTGGTGTGGGCGAGGTGGCAAAAGCCTCGCCAGATCCGGCGATGCTGCCTCGCCCGCGGCGGTGAAGGCTTTTGCCAGATCTGGCGAGGTCGCTTCGCCCGCGGCCGGCAAGACGGCGTTTGCGGCCTCGCCCAGGGCCTTTGCGGCCAAGGGCATGGTGGCCCTCGCCCAATCTGGGCGAGGCCTTCACAGCCGGGTAGGGTCGCCGGTGACCCTTGCCGGCATTCAAAAAAAATTTGCAAAAATAAATAAATAATAAAAAAATTCAAAAATTCAAAAAATATATTAAAATATTGTTCACGTCAGCTCCGGAGAAGCCACATTAGATTTTTCAGCTGCCAAATGGCATTTGCAAAACTTTTTCAAATTTTTAGCACTCAAGTGAGCGCCGTACAAAAGTAAAGGCACTCCTAGTATTGTTATCCCGATTAATGGCTGCACTGCAGAAAGGGCAGGAGAAATTCCTAAAATTGGACTTAGCGAGAACGGTTTTCGCTTAAGGTTGCTTATGCGATCATGCGGCTTTGTGAAAGCTTACAAAAATTAACTGATTGAAGGATTCTCAGTTTCAAGAGCAGATGCAATAACTATTAGTTTAAGAAATTTGTCAAGAAAAGAAGATGGGGATCGTCATAGTTTGCAGTACTTCTTATGAAAGAAAATAGTCCTGTTGCAGGAATGAGATTTAAGTGGACTATAAAATCTACAGGGAAGCTTAATGTTTGCAGGCCATATTAACCTGTTCAGGATCATTAATTTGCGAAGCCAATCACTTTTTTTTGGCTTAAAAAAGCTTAACCGCTTGAAATGGTCGATTGTTAGGAGATTTAAAACAGCAAATCCAAAAAGGAGATGGATTCTTAGCAGAAAAGGAATCTGTTAATCCTACCACAATGTCAAGCTGGATGAATCTTTCTTGTTGTCTTCCTTTATTTTTTAAAAGAGGTTGTCTCTTCGGTGTTTGTCATCGAGGATGAAACAAAATCTTCCAGTTGGAGGTTCAGAACTTGACGGCAGAGTACACAAAGGTTTAGGAACGTTCCTGTCGTATTAAGACAGAATGTGCGACATTAATGAACGTTATCTATGCGACATGTGTAGTCTCCAATAACATTGGAAGTGTAACTCCAATTAGATAAACAGAAGAAGACAGCATAATCGACCAAACGAATGGTTCCTCGGATCATTCCAGATGAAAGACATAATTTCTGTGTCGCATGTGCGCACGGTTTGCTCCATATAAACAAAAAACAAGAAGAGATTCACTATTTTCCTTTTGCAGCAGAATCAACAGAATCTGATAACTCTTCTCCATGAGGGATTTAGCAGTTCTTGTAATGACTCTTTCCTTGATCCACCATGTGAAATCGCAAGAGAACTCTGATTCCGGTTCCAAATTCCCCCACCTGAACTTGAGTCCGGCGGTTATCATAGGAATTCTCTCTGTGATGTTCACTCTGATTCTTCTTGTTTTGGTCTATGTAAAGTTCTTTTACCGAATTCCGCTCGAGCTCCCGAGGCATGAAAACTCCAACTCCACTGGAGTGAAGTCAAGATCTTCAGGGTTCGAGAAAAGTGCAATCGACGCCCTCCCTTTCTTCAGGTTCTCCTCGTTACAAGGATCAAAACAGGGCCTAGAGTGCTCAATTTGCCTTTCGAAGTTCCGGGATATTGAACTCCTCCGTCTGTTGCCTAAGTGCAAGCACGCATTTCACACAACTTGCATCGACCAGTGGCTGGAAAGCAACTCCAGCTGTCCCTGTGCCGATACCCCTATGATCTGAGAGAACTCTTGTATTCTGCTTATTCAGAGAGCCTGAGATTTGGTCAACATTCTTTTAACTTGTCAGAGAATCCTGGCCTTCCAGTCTTCATTCAGAGAGAACAGGACGATCAGGAAACAACGAGGCTCGGCCTCGGAAGCAGGACTTGTGATTTCAGCGAGAGCAACAGAGTTGGTCATCCAAATTCCTTTCACAAGTTTAAGCATAAGATCATCCTCTCTGACATGGCTATCAGGAACAGGTGGAGTGATATTAACTCTTCAGATTTGCTGTTCCTGAGCTCGGAGATGCTTCATTATTCATCAAGCGAGAGATTTTCACCCTTGGAGTCGAGTGATGGAGGAGTTGACCGAAACAAAATAAGCCGAAGCCATAGTATTTCAATTTTGAACCCGGCTTCATCTTGCTGTTGTGAAGGTACCGCAGCACAGTTCACTAACGATGCTAGCGAGAAGAGGTCCATGTCCGAGATAGTAGGCTTTTCGAGATTCGCCTTCGGCATGAAGAACGGGTCTCAAGAATCTGCATTTAGCGAGCACGGTCAAAGAGAGGAGCAAGCGAGGAGGCTTTGGCTGTCTATAGCACGTCAAACGGTTCGATCATTTGCCAGAAAAGAAATTAGGAAGGATGCAAATGTATCAGAGAAAAGCACAGATCAACTTTGCACATGATATCGGTATATGAAACCTTGGTGATTGGCGATCTGCACAATATTCTATTGTCATCTCCAGATTTAGGTCATCTGCATTAAATTCTGTAAATGAAAAATGTGATAATTATTGCTTACACAGCACGAAACAAGGTGACACTCTTTGATCAAAGGTGAAAGAAGACTCTTCTGCTCTCACCGTACCACCATCATTACGCGTAAAGATTATTACTTGGAAAATAACATAAATGATTTCTGAACTTTGGCCAAATATATAATGTGGTTTATGAACTTTTAATTTGTTCAATATGGTCCCTGAACTTTAACCTAATATGCAATGTGGTTCTTGAATTTTTAATTTGTACAGTGTAGTCTCTGAACTTTTGGTACATTTTCATTTTAGTCCTTGAACTATATGAAAATGTTCAATGTAGTCCTTCATTAATTCAAGATCAAGTACTCCATTGAACATTTTTATATAGTTCAGAGGCTACATTGAACATATACCAAAAGTCTAGAGACCACATTAAACAAATTTAAAGTTTAGAGACCACATTGTATATCAGGCTAAAGTTTAAGGACCACATTGAATAAATTAAAATTTTGGAAAGCCCATTGCACGTTGTACCAAAATTCAGTGACCGTTTGTGTCATTATCCCATTATTAATTTTGAGACTAATGGTGAAATAAGAGATTGCTATGACAAATGTCTGGTACCTTAATCAAATTAATGCCGGTAATTTCGAATGAAGTACCGCAACTAAAAGCTAGTAATTTCAAAGGCGTTAGTAAGCCACACGAATAGATTTTGGTAATTGTTAAACTAGTTGGTAATTATGGAAGTCTAAATAAATGGTACTTTTCAACACCTAATTGGACAAAAAAATTGGTAAGTGACAGAGACTCCGTTTGTTTCATGGAAAATGAATAATTTGGAAAATATTTTCCTAAAAATAATCGCTTGTATCACTTAGAAAAATGACTAAGTGAAGAATATTTTCATCGTCCACGAAAATGTTTAAACATAAATTATTGTTAATAATGAAAATATTTTCTATTGACTAATTATTTAGAGAGATATGAGCGATCATTTTATAAATTTTTTTTCAAATCATCCATTTTCCCCTAAACAAATGAAGCCTAAAAGTACTTACAGTTTAATGCAAGCACATCACTCAAATCAAAGTTGATAATTTCGAATAGAAGTTATAACTTCAAAGGCACTGGTAAGCCACAAAAAACAAATATTGATATATTATTAAAGTAGTTGGTAATTTTAGGATTACGAAGAAATGTTGGTACTTTTCAAAACCAAGCAAGATAATAGGGATAAGTATACCAAAAGTCCTACAACTTATAGCGAAAATGCGATTGAGTTTTAAAACTTTCAAAAAGTACAATCAAATCTTAAAATTTATCAAATTGATGCAATCAAAGTTCTTCAATTAACTCCGTTAATTTGGTTAACGAAAACACTGACGTGACACTTTTTTATTGGTAAATCCTTGTGATCTTAGATTCAAATCTTGTTGAGAACACTCAAACTAAAATCCTAAATGCACTAACCAATGAGGGAGAGTGCATAGTAAGATAGGTCACAGAGGCAGACCAATCGAGATGTGCGAAAGTTAGCTCGGATGCCTCTTGACCCATTATAGCTAAAAAAAAAAAGTGGTTAGTTTTCTAAGTAAGTATAAATATTGATAATTTCAAGAAGAAGTATGATAAAAAGTTAATAAGTGAGTAAAATTAGTTGGTATCTTAATGTAACAAATATTGGTACATTAATTAAATTAAGATTGGTAATTTTAAACAAAAGTTAATAACTTTAAAAGTGTTGATAAGCCATTATAATAAACGTTACCACATTATTGAAATAGTTGTTGGTACTTTTCAAAACCAAGTAAAATAAAAAAGTTGGTAACTGACTAAAATTAGCTGGATGTTGGTATACGTATAAAAGTTAGTAACTTTCACGGTGATGGTAAGTCATAAAAACAAAAGTTTGTAGATTACTAAAATCAGTGGTAATAAATGTTGGTATTTGTCAAAATATGTTGGTAGATTACTGACACGTGACTGTGTAAGTAATTAGTTACCAAATAATTTTTCGTTATCAGCGGTATTTAGCAATTATTGACCAGTGAATTATCTACACAAAATTGAATTCCAATAATCACTATTTAATTGCTATTCTACATAAAGATTATATAATTACTTCATATCATCGTCGACCCTGCCCAAAAGACGAATTAAAATTTTGACATGATGATGAACGTAGATATCAACAAATGAGAAAAGGAAAAGAAAGGGTTTTTGTTATGCTATCGTAGGAAAGATTTGATTTCGAGTGTCAAATGAACTGATGTAATAAAAAAGCAAGACTACTCATCACCATCAACCACACAATAGAAATAACTACACAAATAGTCCTCGTACTTTGGTCCAATGTGCAATTCCGTCCCTAAACTTCTAATTTGTTCAAAGTAGTCTATGAACTTTTGGTACATATTCAACCAAGTCCCTGAACTATATGAAAATATTTAATATTATCCTTAAACTTGAATTAATGAAAGGACAATACTAAATATTGTTATATAGTTTATGAACTAAATTGAACATGTATCAAAAGTTCATGGACTATTTTGAACAAATTAGAAGTTTAGGGTGACATTGCACATTAGGTTAAAGTTTGGGGACCACATGAACAAATTAAAAGTTTATGGACGATATTGCATTTTAGGTCAAATTTTGGGACCTATTGCAATTGTGCCAATTCAATCTTAAACTTTTTTTTTGCGGCAATTTAGTTCTAAACCTTTTGCATTTGTGCTAATTCAGTCCATCCGACCAATTTTGGCCGGCCGGCGTCTTGAATTGGTACAAAAAAAAAGGTTTTGAACAAATTTGACACAATTGCAATATATTTAGGTCTGTTTTGGTAATTTCGGCCATTTGTGTTATTTTTCCCCCGCACATAAGAACAGATTAGGTGATCAAATGGGCCTGAAGCTGAAGCCCATTTATATGCACCCAATCTCCATCTTCCAATTTCTCATGATTTCTTGCTCTCGTTCGTTGGTGACCAAGCAAGTGCAGATTGCCACACCATGTTGACGACGATAACGGTGCCAGTTCCATCGCCATTTTCTCTCCCAAAAAAGCATTATTTTTCTTCACAATGCTCGTTCAAGGTCTCTTGTCACGACGACCAAAGCAATGAGAGTTCTTGCTCGAATTTCTCTCGGAGGCTTGCTCTTTTCCAGCTGGGCACAGGTAAATTTCTCATAGAAGAGGAAATAATGTGGAAAGTTTGGATCTTTGGGCTTCGTATTTGTTCTGGCTGATGATGAAGAGTTCAACTTCATAGCATTGTTCACTTTTTTGTCTTTAACAAGCTGACTGGTTCTGCATAGTGGTTTTTATTGGATATATTCTGATCACTACTGGATTAATGGTTTTTATTTCTCTTTCTTCTGCGGTGATACTTTAGACAGTATATAAAGATTGATGCTTGGAAATGTAATGTACCGGAAGCAGATCGTGGTCAAAGAGCTCTTTTTTCATGAATAATTCATGAGAGTGGATTATGTAGTGATAACATTATGTGGGACTATTCTGTATTGAGTTGGCTTTGTTAACTTTGCTTCATTCTGTGATTATCAATGTCCCACAATCTAAAGAACTTTTGGGGACTCTCTCCAGCTATTCCTCAGTCACAAGTCTTGGGTGTAAAAGCATCTGAATTGCTTAGGCCCGCAGAAAGCATGGTTCAAAGAAATAACATCGGAAATGTAGCGGCAATGAACAGTAATCTCACTGAGGACAGTGCATTGCAGTGGGCTAAGAAGGACAAGCGAAGAATGCTCCATGTTGTTTATCGTGTTGGTGATTTGGACAAGACTATAAAGTATGTCCATTAACTGTTGACCTGGAATTGCTCATATTGCTCAATTCCTCATCCAGTGATCTGCCTTTCATGCAAATAGCTAATCAACAAGATATTGCAGATTTTACACTGAATGCTTCGGAATGAAACTATTGAGAAAACGGGACATACCAGAGGAGAGATACTCGAATGCTTTTCTCGGATATGGACCTGAAGATTCCCATTTTACTGTTGAACTAACTTATAGTAAGTTGTTTCTTCTTTTTTTTTTCCTATTGTGAATTTGAAATCTTTGCTCAGATATTACTTCTATTCTTGGGCATAATTTGCTGATGCCGAACAGATTATGGCATGGACAAGTACAACATAGGAAATGGCCTCCGCCACTTTGGCATCAAAGTGGACAATGTAAGTAATCCTTCTTCGTCTAAAGTTTCTTTCTTTCTTGTGTCTATGAGATTGACAGTATACTTTTATTTTTTTTGGTAAGGACAGTATCCTTTTATTCGTCTGACAGTTTGCTATGAAACCTCTAAAAGTTACTTCTTTTGTCTCTTAATTTTTTTTTTGCCAGATGAAGTATTCTTATCCACTGTTCTATATTGTGACTTATGTACCAAGATTTCCTTGCAGGTAGCAAAAGCAGTGAATCTTGTAGAGGCAAAGGGAGGTAAAGTGATAAAGGAACCTGTTCTGTTTAATGGAAGCAGTAAAGTAGTTGCCTATGTGGAAGATCCAGATGGATACAAATTCGAGCTGTCAGAAGAAGCAACTGCTCCTGAGCCCCTACATCATGTAATGCTTTGTGTGGGCAATCTCGATCGATCAATAAACTTTTACAGGAAGGTGATTGACTAATTATGAAGTGCTTCCTTTGTTCCAACCAGACCATGTAAGCTCTTGTCGTGTATACGTGCCTGAGATAATTATTGCTGTCCTTTTTTAACTGCAAGGCTTTTGGAATGGACCTTCTAAGCAAACAGGACAACCCTGAATACAAGGTGATTTAATGTCTCTCATCTTAGCCAATCTTAGCTTATTTGTTTTGTTGAAAACATTGAGCTTAGGCTGTCCCTTGAAGTCTTAAAAGATGGGAACGTGTACCTGCATGTCATATGGTAGGTGGGGTGTATCCTTGTGTGGGAAGGTTGTGTAGCAATGAGGATTCTGCATCTCTCTTGATCCCGAATATTTTTTCTTACTGTTCTTTATCCTGTATCCCATGGCATGTGGTGTAAGTATGTAGGCACACTCCTTTTCTTTGTGAGTGATGATTAGTAACGTCTTAAGAAGAGTTTGCACCAAAATCATGTGTCGTTTTTTGTCTCTCTCCATTCGATATCTGATGCATTGAACATAGTGACCCTGTTCTGAGCGCAAGTTGATGCCTTCTTTTCTTTTTTCTAATTCAGGGATGCTTCTTAGTTCCTTCTTAAAGCAGTTTATTTGTTATGGTCTGCAGATAATCTCTCTTTAAAATGGCAATGTCTCATTCTCTGATGCTTTCAGGATTTTTCTCACTTTTTAGTGTGCAGAAGTTACACTGGGTTATGGTCTTGAAGACATGAACCCAGTCCTGAAATTAACTTATAATTATGGGGTCACGGTATATGATAAGGGAGACGGCTATGCCCAGGTGAGGTCTCCACCCTTATGCTTCCACCAGTCTTTCTTATTTTTGAGCAAACAATCGCTTGGGGTCCTTGTGCTTATTCTCGGTAATCATGTGACACACTGAGCTTTTATGTCTTTCATCAGATAGCAATTGGAACTGATGATGTTTATAAGACGGCCAAGGCAATTAAATTGTTTGATGGGATGATTGCCCGTGAACCTGGGCCGTTGCCAGGTATAAATACGAAGATAACTGCTTGCTTGGACCCTGATGGTTGGAAATCGGTATGTCTTTTCCTTGTGATTTCCTCGGGCTTATCAATATTCTTTTTATAATTTTACCCAGTAGATAATGCTGATCAAACGGAAAGAGCTAAGTTTGACAGTAAGTGTGACATCCTGATTCTGGCTCGCCTTTTTTAATGCGCAAAGAATAACATTTGGTTTTGCTATTTCGCTTTAGCTATCGAAGAATAATCCTTGAGTAATTAATTCCTGATTTAATTTCCTTTCTTCTATGAATTATCGGTTTTGCGATGATTGTGATTTTAAGATACACGAGCTGTTTATAATTTCTGTTGTTGTGGCGTGTGATCTAAAGGGCTTAGTATTGGTGGCACCTTGCATTTTTGGCTTATGGTGTTTATTAGCTTGTAAAAATCGACTCGGTGGCAATATCGTAATTTTCAGAAACTTCAAGGGTATTTTGGGAAAGAGGCAATTATAAGTCAAATTTGATTTTCATTTGTAAACCTTTGACCCCCTTCTTCACGTTGATTCTACCACCACCCATCTTCTTCTTGTCTTTGATTATAGCTTCTAAATTGTGATCTTCCCCATTATTTCAATTGAAGAGACAGCCAAAAGCGTTTTTGCCTCTCTCCCTCTCTCTCTCTTTTCTCCTTTCACTCGGCTGAAGCTATCCCTTCCCCTTCATTGTTCTTGTCTTATATCAATTGATATATTACATTGGATAATGTTTTGGGTAATTTATGATGATATTTAACTTTGTGCTCTCTTCTTCTCATCTTTCTTCTTCTTTCTCTTGCTCCCTCACGTCTTCTTCTTCATCACCGAACAGCCCCCTCACTCCACTGTGCTCTCCCTTTTCTCTCATTTCCTCGTCTTTTGCTACTTGAAAATCTCGCTCATTGAAGCTTGGATTCCGGTGTACCTCGAGGAAGATGGAGGACGGAGTTTACGTTTGTGTTTAAGGCGAGAATAATTTCTCTTCTTTTCAACCTTTTATGTCATGGTTAGAGGTGGAGCTTGGGTTGTGAGATGTGTGTGAAGCCTGTTGAGTCACGTGGATTATTTAATTGTCAATTGTTTAGCGTCTTAGTTATTAGAAGTCTGTTTTGTAGTGGTGTAGAACATGGCTTTGTGTTTTACCAAGTCAATAGGTGATTTCTGCACGTTGCTGTTTTTAGGGGTTAGTGGAGTACTTTCTTTTATGCTGTTAATCGTCGTGTGTCAGCTCTTTAAGAAGAGCATCGATGTAAAGTTTTTTTAGAGAAAAATGCAATAAGAACAACGTAGTTCTTTGCATATCTGTAGCTTTCCTTCTTCCAAAATTCTGTAACATCGGTATCGAGCCAAATTGTGAGAAGAGTGAGTTTGAAAAAGGAGAGATTGAACGTGAGATACCTTTGTGAAAAGTCGCAGCAGCAACTTTTTCAATGGCCACGATAATTTCGTTCACCTGCCATTCCTCGCTTTGATGGTCATTATGATCATTGGAGCATGCTGATGGAGAATTTCTTGCGGTCGAAAGAGTATGCGGCATGTCGTCGACTGCGTAGCGAACCAACGGCTGGAGTGGTGTTGACGGATACACAAAGGCTGACTTTGATGCATTGAAGGCTGAAGGATCTCAAAGCCAAGAACTACCTTTTTCAAGCTATCGATCGATCAACCTTGGAGACAATTCTTTGCAAAGACACCTCCAAGCATATTTGGGATGCAATGAAGAACAAGTATCGGGGAACGCGAGGCAAAGCGCGTGCAACTTCAAGGGCTTCGGATAGAATTTGAGAATTTACGCATGAAAATCGGTGAATCTGTTACCGATTACTTGTCGAGAACAATGACGATCGCTAACAAGATGCGGATTCATGGCGAGAAGATGGAGGACGTCACCATCATCGAGAAGATTCTTCGATCAATGACACCGAAATTTAATTTCGTTGTTTGTTCTATTGAAGAATCTAAAGATATTGATGATCTTTCAATTGATGAGTTGCGGAGTTCTTTGCTGGTTCATGAGCAAAAATTTGTCCAGCAAGATAAAGAGGAACAAGCATTAAAGGCGAAGCCCATTCAAAAGGTCTGATTGTGGGAAAGGGAGATGGAAGGATAAAGAGTCATATCATAAATCAAATGAGGATCACGCTGTCGATCCTAAATGGAAAGCGAAAAACCGTGACAACAACTATCAAACGGCAACAAATCGAAGTTCTTCGACAAGTCAAATGTTGAATGTTATAGATGTCACAGGTATGGCCATTACAAGTCTGAATGTAGAACCAATCTTAACAAAAACCGTGGTGCAAAATCAAATTTTGCAGAGAAAGCAGAAGAAGTTTCGCTTTTGATGGTCTGTCATACAAAAGAAGAGGTTCATCGAAATTTGTGGTATCTAGATACCGGCTGCAATCACATGTGTGGAGATAAGTCTGTATTTTCAGACTTGGATGAATCGTTCCGTAACACGGTTACGTTTGGCGACAAATCTTCTGTTTCGTTATGGGCAAAGGCAACGTTAAGATTCACACCAAAGAAAACTCTACTCGGTGATCTCTAATGTTTACTTTGTTCCAGATTTGAAAACCAATTTGCTTAGCATTGGTCAATTACAAGAGAAGGGATATGAGATCTCTATCAAAGATGGAGTTTGTCGAATTCAAGATGAAAACTTGGGCTTAATTGCTCAAGTCAACATGACAACAAACCGGATGTTTCCACTGTATCTCGATGACACCAATCAATGGTGTTGCTCTGCGAGATTGAAGGACGAAGCTGGTTGTGGCACTTTCGCTATGGACATCTGAGTTTTGGTGGTCTAAAGACGCTGCAGCAAAAGAATATGGTAACCGGTCTTCCACAAATTCAAAGTCCTTCTCAAGTTTGTGAAGAGTGTGTTGTTGGCAAACAACATCGAGATCCGTTTCCAAAAGGAAAAACATGTAGAGCGAAGAAGGTCTTTGGGCCCGATAAATTCAGATTTATGAAAATGCAATAAGAACAACGTAGTTCTTTGCATACTATGTAGCTTTCCTTCTTCCAAAATTCTGTAACAAAGCCGACCGGTAGTCGTGCGGAACTCGTGATTGATGGTGGAAACTTCGAAATGAAGTGAATTGTGATAATGAGATTGTTTGCTTTAGAGATGGAGGAAAGATGCGATTTTCCGTCGATTCGGAAATTCCGTTGGTAGCCGACCATGTTGATGTTGCGGCTGGTGCTTATTTTGAGGAAGAGAAAATACTCATTTCATAGTTAAATTGGCACGATGAGATTATGTAATGATTATGTACGTGAAAGACGAACGTGAATTGCTTTGCATGGTTGGCTTTCACTGTTTACATGCTTCTACAACTTTCTATATGTATAGTGAGCTGGTTGTGATGATCACAATGATGTGATTTATATTAGAATTTTCGGTGGTGATGGGATCGAGATGGTACGGTTAATAGTGTAGCTGTGGACGCTCTGTATGGTGGTTATTTCGACTATTGTCGAACATATCTTACTGACGATATTGATATAATTATTGTCAAGCATTGAAGTGGTGTTTTGCATTTCCGTCATTTCATACATATACATTACATTGAGAGGATTACGGTAAGGACCATTGGACGGCGAACCGATGATGCCCCATGGAAGCCAGCGAGGGAAATTGGGAAGCTCAAGGTCGTCTACCTTGAGGCCGTGCTTTGTGGTCTCGATAGCAGATGCGCAAGTAAGTCGCATAACCTCGGAGTAGAAACAAGATGCTTGCTGCTATGTGGTCTGCAGAAGATCGGTTCTTAAAATTAATGGTTACGAATGGAGTGGCATTCGCGGCGAATTCATGGGCATATCATATGCATTTTCATATGCATATTATCATTATTCATATCATGATGGCAATCAATGATCTCATGATAGACCCTTTAATTGTGATATAACTATTTGGATTGAATAGTCATGGCTTGGTTTCCTTGCTAAGCTTATCTCACTGTTGTTGCTTTCGATGTTTTTCAGACCGTTAGCATGGCTTTCTTTCCGTCGACTGGACCTATCTCCACTTATGGTTTAGTTTTAGAAATCGAGGGATCATTTGCCGAGTGTCTCAATCCCATTGTTCCTAGTGTGGTGTGGGAGCGCCACTCCATCACTGTTTGGGTCGATTGCTTTACTCATTTGGGTCGTTTGCCGTATCGCTTTGTAGCAGACTACTTCCGTTTAAATGGTCGCTTGTATGGACCCGTTCCCTCCCATGCGAGAGTATGAGAAGGTTCGCAGCCGGTGGTTGATCAGGCTAGGTGTTGGTGCAGTAGCCCCTTTTTGTTTGAGCTGCATCATGGCCGCTGGCTAGTAGTCTCCTAGGACTTTTGGTGTGACAGCGTCAAGTCAGGCGTGGATGTGACTTTTTGTAGCTGGTAGAAGAAGTAGACTAATCCTCGCCTCCCAGTTGTCATTTCCTTTGTGTTGTAACTATGCTTTATCGCCTAAAGAAAAAGATAAATAAAAAGCTGTCCGTTATGTTCCTCTGATATCTCCGTTATGTATTGTCCGTTATGTTCCTCTGATATCTCTGTTTTGTATTGTTGTCTTCCGCTTGCGTTTTTAATCAAACCTGATAAATAAGCCGAATAGTTTTTATGACGGCCTGGGATGTCACAGCTCGTGTTGGTATTGTCACAGTAAGACCTTTATAATCTTTTATTATGAAGATTTGATATGCATGTGGAATTCATTCTGGTACCAAATGATTTTGAAAGCGCACACACACTGTATTTTCTAATTCCATTTAAATACAGGTACAACGTTTGACTCTCTATCTCTCTCACTCAGGTTTTCGTTGATAATGTTGACCTCCTTAAAGAATTAGAGTGACTGAAGCATCGCTGGGAGGCAGATATTGAGGTAATCCAGATTCACCTTTGATTAGCTTTTTCAACTTGCTTTTCACCAAGTATTTGTTCCAGAGGTACCTTGGAGATTACTCCACGGCTCTTTCAGGCGTTTTAAGTGCTAGTCTTCTCCTTCAATCAATCTCGCCATGCAGAAATTTTTATGCGGAATAAACTTTTTCTAGACTTCTAAATTCCAATCATACCACTTCTCCCTCTGGATCATATCATGTTGGAACAGTAGTTTAGCATTTGCTGGATCCCCTCAGTCCACATTTGCTTGTCTCCCTTGCTTTTGCATTCAAACTCAACCACCCTGTCTGCCGTTACTATACCAAAGTAAGCCTTCTCGCCGCTGTCTTCCCTTTCCCTTCCAGGCCAGGCTGGGATATCATTAAGCACTCCGGTGACTACACCTGTAATTTGGAAAACTGCTTTAGATGAAACAGAGCCAAAAGGTGATGAAAGAGTTTAACATGAAAAGCATTTGCCTACATTTTTTCTTTTTTGTGAATGTTCCTGCCACATGCTTGCTTTTCAGCTTTGCTACCACCTGCCTCCAATTTTGAGTAGTTGTTAGGATTGAAGATTAGAAAAATGTATTATCTATGGGTCCAATGGAGCACGATAATAAGTTGCTCTTTCATGAACACATGGAGCTCTCTGTATCTTTCGAAGCAAATTAAGGAGGATAAAAGAAAAAAGTTTAAGTGCATCAGTAAAATTTGATGTACCCCCAATTTTCTTAACATAAATGTATAGGTTTGTACCTGGAAGTTTGAATTTACATTGAAAGAAACTTGTTTCCAGTGAAGGGCTCCTGTCATCAGCATTTTGTTAGAAACCGAATTCAGAAGTATAAGAGCATTTTTGTTAGACAACGAACTCAGAAGCATAAAAGCATGAGCGGATGCTCTTTTTTTTCTAATGCTGTCTGTATACCTTTCCTTGTGCGTTTAAGAAGTTCTCCTCCTTTTGACACAAAGTCTAATGCATTTGACATTGACATGTAGTTTTCCTTGTCAGCTTCTCCCTTGTCCTCTGCCATGGCAAATGTCGCTCCTCCATAACCCTTTTGAAGCCTTGCTCGCAGGGTGGCAGCTCCTCTTAATGCTGCACAGTTTGAGTTGTAGAAGTTACACTTGATTGGATTATTGTAGGAAAAATACCAAGAATGACAGTGCCCCTTGAGATGATAAATTAGAAAGTATAGTAAGCTCTAAGGTAGGTCAAATTACACAGGTATCCCCTTTGTCCTTTACTTTTTTCTTTTAACTAAATCAAAAAGGCGAGGAAGGGCAATCATCGTGGGTACTCCCATTGGGCGTTACCATGAGGGTTCTACTAACACCCACTACGCCCTACGTATGTTGAGATTTAAAACTGTAGAGAGGTTGTCACTTAGCAACAGTAGTGAACCACTGGTCTGAGTAGGCAAGCCCCATCACCTTAGCCTCGCCAAAGTGTTAAGAGGTCCAAATCCTATTGATCAAAGTGAGGGAACGCATTGCTACCACAAGCAATCCGAAGTGGTGACCTAGTGTTTGGGAATAGAAGCCCAAACCACCAGGTCACCACCATTGGTGCTGGGCACCCCCTCTGTTCCAGAAATGTACCCTTTCCACTCTTCAACAAGTGTTTATAGCTCCATATTTCTACATTTTCTGTGGATACCTGAACTGATCAGCTTATGATGTGCTTTTATCCTGTAAGATATATTAATTGAATTTCCATTCAAAGAACACCAAGAATTGAGCAATGAACGCAATTGACATATGGTGCCAAATTGTAGATTTCTGAACCAAGGATTGTTAAACAAAGTGCAGAGGGTTTGCACTATGATTTTCCAGTGATAAAAGCTCAATTCTATCCAACTAAAGCTAACTCTGCCTCTTCTTTTTCCCTTTGAGAAATACTGGGCTTTTGTTTCCTAATTATCCTGTGGATTTTGTGTTAAGCATTGCTTGTACCTGTAGCTGCTCCGGCAGTTAAGGCCATGATATCACCATTAGTCCTCGCACTGACTGCGGAGCTCACCACAGCCGTAATCTGTTGGTGATCGGCTCCCATTTCCTCTGCAAGGTCGATGCAGTGGGATGCCACCAGAGCTGCTGCAGAAGCTATAGCCACAGATGTCCTAGAATGCTTCTTCTGGTGATTGGTCGGTTGTTCTGTCATGGTTGCATTGGATGCTGCAACCACCGCCACGGCAGCTGCAACCCCTGCCACAGTCACAGCTGCGTGTAGCTGTGCATTATTGGCCCGGGTTTCCTGCTTCTTCCTCTCTTTCTGGTCCTTCAACCACCTCCCAATTGTTTTCCCCCTCATTATGTTCTTGTAGACCTGCAGAACAAAGTAGCAATGTCAATATGATGAAGTATTGTTTCTGGAGTTTCAGGAAAGTAGTGATTTTGAGTGATGGCTTACCCCATTTCTGAGAAGTTGTTGATTGGAAAGGAATTCTGGGTTGAGTGCTTGATGGAGTAGGAATAATTCCTTCACAGACAACATTACTGAGTTAAACTTGATTTGCAGAATGTCAAGTATGTTTCACTTACTTTTTTTTTGAAAGTGAAATTTCTGAACTTAGTCAGAACATTCTTGGAAAACAAATTAACAGCCATTTTCATTTGAAGTGCTTGAAAACTTCTTTTCTTTTCGTCCATTTGATGACAAGTGAAGGGCAAGTGCGTGGGGTAAGAAAAATTGGAAAGCTGTGAGTTACCTTGACTTCACCACTGTCTCTTGGAGAGATGGATTCGGTTTCATTCGTTGGTGGTCGCTGAGGTGGCTGCAGGGTGAAAGAAAGAATTGTCAAAATCATGTACAACCAAAGCAGATGGCAATGATGACGATACCTTAAAAAAAATACGGATAGATGACAAGTGTTTAAAGATACTCTTTGACAAGTGTTTAAAGATACTCTTTAACTAGGTAAATGTTTCTGCTTTGCTTCGTTCAAGAGTAATATGGTGTCAATTTCATCTTCTTTTGAGACCCAACTTAACATAAACGATATCGCTTGATCTGAACATAAATTTTGGAAGCTAGAATTGGCAGGTCCTTAGAAGATTCTACAGAAGTGGGATTCTTCATCTCTACAGGGAAACTAATTTAGCTTCAGCTCCAAAATTATTTGTGGCAGTCAGATATTCATACAACCGACCTGAGATAACAAATTTAGCTAAAGATTTTACAACCAAGAAAAGACATTAGAAAAGCTTTGACACAGAAAATTTACTAACCATTTTACAAAGTTGGAGCTACACATAAGCGATCTTACACTCCATCCAAGTGTCTATGGGAGTAGCTACAACCATAGGTTTATGAAACTTCTCCTTTCGTTGACGGTGTACAAAATAAGAGTTTGGAATATGAATCTTACATAGTCTCCTGGAGACCTGGAATTCGCATCGGTCGCATCAGTGCCAACCGAAGAAAAAGATGATCTCTCTGCACTGTTATTATTGTCGTTGCAAACGGAGACATGAGTAGTGTTGAGAGCTTTTGAGAGCTCCATGGCTGAAACACTCCATGATCTCGCCAGAAACTCCATGGACTCAATTGGAGTCTCAGGGGTCACACATGACGCTTGCAATGACGACAAGTTTGCAGGGCCATTTTCGTCGATATGCTCCAGTTTCTTCTGCTTGACGCTGCTTGAAGTCACTGTATACAAAAAGAGAATAATTCTTAGTCTCATATAAAACTGTCTTTCATTCAAGATTGAGCTCTACCTCAAGAGACAGAGCTTACTTTTTGCACATTCAAGACTTGAGGAACCTGCAAGAACAAGCTAGTTAAGACTGATCACGATACGATGACTGAAGGGTACTTATAATGGGTTGTGGGCAAAGAAGGGCCTTTTATTTTCTTTATCGAGGAAAGAATCATTATAGATATACTAGAAAACTATTTGGTTCAGTTTTGAGGGTGCAGTTTTAACCGTATAAAGAGGTGTTGCAGCTTAGATACTGTGTTTACTGTTTAGTAAAAGGATTTCGTTAGAAAGTGTCCTAGAGCACTTATTAAGCAACTAAATAAGGAAACATTGACTATTGTCGTAATATATATCAATACCTTAAATTATATATTCACTCATAAGCATGTCTAATAAGCATCATGAGAGCACTCGTTAATCAAACTCTTAACAAAAATCTCTTACCTATAGCGCATCCACTACTACAACAGCATAAAATAGCTTTTAGGTATTGTACCACCCAACTTTTAAGGAAGTTGTGACTCTTTTAGTTTAACTCACTCGAAAAACTGTCCGCTTTAATTCATCTTATACTGAGTCTTGAGTGTTCTATGTCGTACAAGTAAGAACTTTTTTCTTGTTAGTCCTTGACCTGGCAATGTTCTTATCTGAGTACACTTAATCTTGGAGTCATTATGTCAAAAAGTGTCTCTTGTGAGTTAATTCTAGTTTCACATATACAATCCAAAAATGTACCCCCCCCCCCCCCCCTCCCCCACCTCCCATTTGATTTATTTCTGTGATCCTTCACTATCTTAGAAACCTGCCAAGACGACACTTTATCCAAGCCTTCCTATCTTGATAATCACTTTTGGCTTTCGTCGAAACTATAAATTTAAAAGAGTCCATATTACCAAGCACACATGTTACATTCTCTTGACATCATAACTATTTCAAACGATTACAAATGACGTGGTATATTGTAAACAAGTCTCTAAATAAGTGCATTACATTCGATACCTAGAAAAAATATGCTTTATAGCATCCAATTAGAGTCCAATACTTCATTTGTAATGTGGTTTCTGCAATTTAACGTTTCTAAAGCTCATTGGCAAAAGAAAATGTAGCTAGTGGGGAAGACCCCATTTTAAAGGGGGGTCAACTTTGTCTCGTTGCTATTTGCATCTTCTTTTTGGCTTTTGGACTCCACTGTTTTTGGTGCTTTGCACATAAAAGGAGTTTAAAGAATTCCTTCTTGAACGGCGGGATTCATGATAGCCATGGGGTTCTTCTTGCGTCTGTCACTATGAAGACTGAAATGATTTAAAGTGAGCAAAGCGAGGGCCCGCACGCAAAACTTGATAGATACTCTCAATGATTACACACTGTCCAAAACAGTGCATTACTTGTGTTGAAGTTGATGGTTTTGAATTCAACCCGCAACTTTCAAACCAGATTAGTTTTTCATTTGACTGCATAAGTTTCAAACATGGGCTCTTTATTCGAAAATTTTACTGCTCAATTTGTCTGTCGCTGAGTGGTGTCCGGGAAATCGGCATGACTGCAGCAAAACCTTCTGTAAAACAGTGTTTACTTCAGCTCATATTGTTGGTCAGTTGTATTCCCCCGAAGTGAGATATAATTCGTTTCTTCTCACTCTACCGATTTAGAAACACGTCGGGAGTTGCACCTTGTTTGTGCCCTGTCGTCCCAATGAACACCCTGCACCCTCGTCGAATCAGCTAGGGTCCATCCATGAATCGTATATCTATCGAGAGTGGCCTTACTTTTGTATCATTTGTAACCTTCAAGCCCGTTTTGGATGGGGCGAACTCCAAAAGAAATATCTAACTATTACCTCTTAAGGCCACGATCATTAAAGGATGGGTATTACTAATGATTATTTCGCAAGACCTTCACCATCCGACATACGACTTGGAGTGCGTGTGCCACAACAATCTCAAGCTATTACTATGCTACAACAATGTAGAGTTTACCAATGGACAGATTTGGGGTTGGCTGACCTCTTTTGGTCGCTTCCAATTTATTGCCTACACCTGCTCATAATAAAATATTTATATATCAAATTCTGGGGCTCGAACACGATCAGATCTAAATAATAGGAATAATCCTCAGTGCATGATAAGGGAAACTACTACTGATGAAGGGACAGGCTGTGACCATCAATGAAAATGATTTTGCGCGAGAATTTGGTAGCATATGATAAGAAAGGAAACTACTTTATCCGTTGCTTAATCCAAATTTGGTAGCATACGCAGTTTTGATTTTTTTTATTTACCCAAAACACCTAAAACTATCAAAATTTACATATAATTTTTCACACAATTTTTTGAAATTTGGATGACATCTTAAATTTTGCGCGAGAGAGCGACTTTTTAAGAATACACAAACAAACAGGCCCTCAATTACAATAGTTCCTGAAAATCCATAAATTTGTCTTCATGCACCAAATAACCATTCCAATCACACACACTTTAGCTATGTCATATTTGAGGCAAAATTGGCCAGGCCCTTATTGACTTGCCAGATACAGTAAATATGCACGTTCACTTCCTTTGGATCTTTCGATCATTCACGGCAATAGAACGAACATGGCATTTATGCATAGAGACTATACACTCGCACATAGTGGAAGAATTTTCAGGGACTACATTATACATGCAAAATTCCAACATTAAATATCATAAGTAGACAAAAGGAACATTGCTCCTGATGATATTGGACCCTTGATGATAGTCTAGAATTGGAATCTCATCGTGGCTATGGGGCTGACCACTTGCACTCGTGCAAGACATTTTTAAAAGGTTTCTAATCCCACAAAAAAAGAAAGAAAAGATTGAAGATTAGGTTATGACTTCAGTGCAGAGGCACCATAAGTGGAGGGGGTAGGGCTAGCTCTTAAGTGCTGACTCCTTAATGATTGCAGTTTAACTCTAATCATGGTTCCAAAATCAAAATTAAATTCTGCACACGGGACTCATTGGAGGATCCCACCTTTTACCACCCAAATAATTACAGGAGAGAATCATATGATTATACATGGATTATTAGGAAAGTGGATATGTACTCATTCTCCTAAACCCTACCTTACAAAAGGCTATACAAATGAAGGCCGGCCATTACTGCCGGATTGCTAAGTGCTGCAGATTCTTGCTTTTGTTGGGGAAGGTCAAGACTCCCACTTCATATAGGAAAAGATTCATCCGGTGCACCTCATCAGAATATAAAGTGACGCATAGAGATATACATTTTTAAAATGAGCGTCACTTTAGCCGCCGCTGCCGCCCACTACTGTTCGATTACGATGGAACGGCACAACTTGAACCAATAAAATGAGTAGGAGTTCCATTTTGTTCCTTGGGATTCGAGCGTTAGGGGAATTTCATCCTAAGAACCCCACCGAGTCTTAAAATGACTTTAGCAATGAGAAATGAACTGAATGATTAGTGCAATGTGAAATTAGCCTTCAAATGGGTCAGGGAAGAACAATGAGTTTTGCATTCCTTGTAGCTTTTGGGATATGGACTTTTAGTAGGCTTTCCGGAGATGATTCTGTGGCTCCAGATAGAGACCCAAACCCATTTGTCTTGAGGCTTGAAATCGGGCCACCATTAGGCTATCTCTTCCTGGTCCTGGCCTTAATTTGAAGTCGCTATGATAATAGCCATCAGTAGGGGGGAGCATCGGTCTCTCCCGGCTCAATCAGAGAACCATCTTTACGTGTAAGATGCTATTCCGCAAATCGTTAGTGAAGAAATCTCAATTCGGTGAGCAACACTAGTTGAGCAACAACCGTTCAACAAGGGATTGACAGGTACAATAGTGTACATATCTATATAATCATGCACGTTACCTAATTAGCAGAGTCTGAAATTTCTCTCGCTATCACCGTATGTTAGAAGAGCACCCTTCCATTTCTTGAATAACAAAATGTTAATTGGACCAGGTCTAAACAACCCATCTGAGAAACTTAACAACAAAGTCTCAAACCCAATCCTGTAGCAGCATTGCAGAAGACTGAGCAAACACTACGGAACCGTTGATAATGATGCACTGTCTGACCTCAAATGACGAAAAGGAAGACAACAAAGGAAGAGAAAACGTAATGGCTGATGTGTCGAACGAACTTAAAAGCCCCTTTATTCTCCCTCGTTTTAGTTTGATATTGGGATCTGTTTGGTCAAGGATTGAAAATTCTGACGGTGAAAGCTTCATGTTTGCAATATTCAACTCCGGGACAAAAGGTTTCAGACGTGAAGATTCTGGTTCTGAAACCCTCATTCCTTAAAAGTTGGTTTGGTTTCGAGGTGGAAGAAGTAATGAGGAGGTGTGGCCTTGTTTGTGGGTGCGGCGGTGTTTGTACAGAATTCAACCACCTCGGAGATCTCGGAGCAACCTGTTGAGCAGCGGCATGACCAGTCAAGCCACTCCCTCGTACGTGTCGACGTTCACGCAACTTCCTCTCGATATTGTTTTTTTCTTTTAGTTTCTCGAGTCCCTTTCGATTCGAGCCTTCACTGCTATATGTTCTCCTTCTCACCCAACTCATTGAATCTTTCTCAGCTAACATTACCGTGACTAGGTAGTGCTCTCTCTCTCTCTCTCTCTCTCTCTCTCTCTCTCTCTCTGTGAAGAGCAAAGATGAGTCAAATGGGTCATCGTTCTAGTGATCAACCGGCCAAGAAGACGATCAGAGAGCCGCTCCTGGAGACCCCAACCCCAAAGGGTGGCCTCAGAACCATCCCTTTCATAATTGGTATTGTATACACACACATATCATATACATGTTAGTTCATTGTAAACTCATGTCTGTGTGTAGTTTTGTTCATTCCAGTACTGGGGGTGTGTTCATATGTGCAGCAAATGAGGCGTTTGAGAATGTGGCGAGCTACGGATTGCTGCCCAACATGGTGGTGTACTTGACCAAAGAGTACCGCTTGGAGAACGTCGTCGCTGCCAACGTCCTCTTCCTCTGGTCTGCCGCCACCAATTTCCTCCCGATCGTCGGCGCCGTCCTCGCCGACTCCTACTTCGGCCGCTACCCGATGATCGGGTTTGGTTCCATCGTCAGTCTACTGGTAAGATTCATCATGTCGTGTCAGTTGCGATTATAATGAAGTTATGTCGTTCTTTTCCAGAAAAAAGGAGTTGCAACCATTAGTAATCCTTCGTGTTTTCAATTTATCAATAGTCACTCAATCACCCGTTAAATGGTGAATCTTGTTTTCGTGTTGTAATCTAACCCTCTAATCACCATTAGAAAGAGGGGTATAAACAAGATTAATGCTTTAGGACACAGGAATTGATTCAAGAAAGAGATGTGCAAGATAAAAGTCGACAATGTCATTTTAATGAATATAATCTTGTAAATCAATAAGTTCGTACGACGAAAGCCCTTCACCTAACATAATCAACAAGTGAATTTCACGGTCCTATAGATTATCTCATTCATTTCCTGAAATTATTGCTTGGATCTTACCTTTTTATTTTTTTTTTGTTCTTTTTTTCTGGCAAATGCCATCATCGCTGCTTCTGGATTTCTTTCCCTTGGCCAATCACTCACTGTCATTGTGGATGATAACGATATGGTGCACGTCTATTTTTTGGTGAATGGAAAGTGACCTGTGAAACAATGAAACAGCACGCGTCCTAATCAAGGATGCATATGATACTGTGCCTTCTCAGGGCATTTGTTTGATTCGTCTGTTGTTGGAATCCACGTTAAGCAGGTTTAATTAACTACATAGCCAGCTTCTTAGCTTTTGGCCTCGAGCAAAGTTTGGAGATCCCTTCACCCGTGGTTGGGCTGATTTTAGCAGATGAAATTTATGTTTTAATCCAAACAGAAAAGGTGGAAAAAAGTTTTTGTGCATTTAGTGAATAAAGTCTCAGTTGACTTGTCATCTTCCTAGCTCAACACCTTCACTCAAATTAGAGGTGATCATGGGCCTATAGGCTCTCTTAGGTCAAACATTTCTCATCTTGGGATGGGAGGACCAGAGTGGCTCTCAATCCAAATGCAAATTAGTCGGGTGTCCCAAAAGCCTTCGATTGTCCCGCTACGGAGTCTAAACCGGGCTCTAAGTCGCCTAAGCAAGAGTCAAGGATGTGAGCGCGAATTAAAACATTTTAACAGCACCAACCTGTGTATTGTTCACATTTTCTGTACTTTCCTATAGTATTCCGATTCTGTCTTCTTTCTTTTTTGGTTCCTGTAAGACACCGGAGGGTGTGTTAGACGTCGTGGATTTTTTGCTTTTTCACTGCAGGGCCAGTTCTTGTGGATTTTGTGTTCTTGATCTTATCTTGAATAAAAAAGAACAACATCAAATGTTGATGTGCCTTATGTATAGCAGGTTTGAAATCATGCAAAGTTTGATACATTCAAGTGTTTGGATAAGAATAACCGATGTTTCATATAACAGGGAATGATTCTTCTATGGTTAACAACGGTGCTTCCACAAGCAAGGCCTCCTTCTTGTGACGAGTTCAACAAGGACACTTGCGGATCAGCAACCACAGCGCAATTGTTGCTCCTATATTCTTCCTTTGGCCTCATGTCCATAGGAGCCGGAGGCATAAGATCATCTGCCTTAGCATTTGGTGCTGACCAACTAGAAGCAGGAGCGAGCTCCAAAACTTCAGGCAACTTGTTACAGAAGTTCTTCAGTTGGTACTATGTTTCGGTCATGACCGCGGTGATGGTCGCAATGACCTGCATAGTGTATATTCAAGATATCGCGGGCTGGAAAATCGGCTTCGGAGTTCCCGTCGTGCTCATGTTCATATCGACCTTCTCATTCTTCTTGGCGTCACCTTTTTACTTCAAACTGAAGGTAGAATCAAGCCTGCTCACGAGGTTCTTCCAAGTTGTTGTGGCCGCCTTTAAAAACAGAAGCATCAAGCTGTCATCCTTGCGCCCGGACGAATTGTATCATATTGGAAAAGGATCGATGCTTCAAGTGCCGAGCGAAAAATTGCGGTACTATTGGGCATACTTGTAATGTGATTTCCTGGCTATCACATTTCGTGATTGTATCGTTGAATTTTCGTTACTCAATTCTTCAGGTTTCTGAACAAAGCGTGCATTATCAGAGAGACTGACCAACTACACCTCACAGATGGGAAGGCCCTGGATCCATGGAGTCTCTGCACAGTCGACCAAGTCGAAGAGCTGAAATCGCTAATCAACATAATCCCGTTATGGTCGACTGGGATCATGATGGCGGTGGCCTGCAACCAGAACTCCTTCATAGTACTCCTCGTCGCCTCCATGGACCGACACATCACCCCAAATTTCGAAATCCCTGCAGGCTCCTTCACCATTTTCATGGTTGTCTCTTTGCTAGCCTTCGTCGCTTTCTACAACTGTGTATTCCTCCGTCTCGCCTCTGCAATCATTGGAAAGCCAGTCTATCTGAGCTTGAAACAGAGGATGGGGTCCGGGCTCGCTCTATCCATCTTCGCCACGTCAGCCTTAGCCGCAGTGGAATCGGTTAGGCGAAAAGTTGCCACAGAGGAAGGACTTTTGGACGGAACAGGGGTGGTTAAAATGTCAGCGATGTGGCTGCTTCTGTACTATGTTCTGATCGGATTCGCCGAGGGCTTTAATGCAATCGGGCAAAACCAGTTCTATTACTCGGAGTTGCCCAAGACCATGTCTAGTGTCGCCGCCACTCTGTTGGGGGTCAGTATGGCCGTGGCGAACTTGGTCGCAAGCCTCATAATCAGCATTGTGCAGTTGGCTACTGAGAGAGAAGGGATGGAGAGTTGGGTTGGGAATAATATCAACAAGGGGCACTATGACTACTACTTTGGGGTCATCACTTGTTTTAGCACCCTCAATTTTGTGTACTTTCTTGCTTGTAGCAAGGCCTATGGACCCTGCAAAAATGAAGGTGGTGATGGTGCTTCAAGTAGAGTACTTGAAGAAGAGACTGGTGCAAGTTCCTAAATTTAGCAAAGGAAGTGATTTTTCTTTCTTCCTTTGACCATTAGTCAATATGTCATGTATATCAACTTCTTATCAGCAATATATCAACACTTTCACATGATTGGAGTCACATGTCTGGATTCATGTCTCAGACACAACCACTTGTTTGGGATAACTAACAAGACATGAATGGAGACTCTGTGCAGTGAATAACGCTTCCTCCTCTCCCATACAAGGACCATAAGCTCTACAACAACCAATGTAAAGGACAATTTAAGCAAGACTCAAAGCAGCAGCAACCCAATAAAAGTGGTCAAAATTATCCCTATTGGTATTATTATGAGACACCCGCGTCTCTCTACCTTTTCTTCTTGCCGTGTCATCAACAAGGCTCACCAACCAAGCAGGCAGCCCCATTTGATACAGAGATGATGCAATGCTAGACATGATACTGGGGAGCCAAGTGTAGTAGAACTAACTCGTTTGGAGCAACCGCGTTGAACACCTGGACCACGCCTCTCAGACGATATTGCGGGACCGGCCACATTGCTGAGATGCTTGCCACTCCTCGTGCATCGATCGTGGTCTTCCATCAGATGCTTTCGACTATGGCCGATATTGCCCGCGTGAAGGCTCGAGAGAGAAAGCCCGATTGCCATTCTCTGCTTCACCCGGTGATGCTCGGATTGACTGACATGGGAGATCAGAGGTGCTAAGAGGCGGCCATAGACAGAGAGAGACAAAGGATTGGGCGGATGATCATGAATGTGCCGAATGAGCCTTCAGGGATTTCAAAATTGCAAGTAGGAATCGGCAAGAAAAGCCCCTGAGGACCGGTGCAAAATGTATAGCGGCAGAGCACAAGTACAACACTCAGCTTGCCACCTCCTCCAGTACTTCATTTTCTGTCAAACCCATTGAAGCTAACACACAATAAGAAGAGTCAAGTGGCTAATAATATTGTATGAATGGCTCAGCCTAACGCGATGCGAACCTCACATGATCCGACAGTATATGGTTCTATTCGCGCCAAGATCACATACACGGCATCAGCTCTATAGATGCACCAAATCTCAGGATCTTGAATGTTCATCAATATGTCATATACTATTCGAAAAATTAGACCAAACCTTGCTTAAAACTAGAGTCCACTCCTGTTATGTCCATTGCTCAACAATCCCAGAATCTAATGTCGTTCAAAATGGAGTTACTCAACATTTAACATGCCCACAAAATGTATATAATGAATCGAGACAGTAATTAGCGAAGGGTGGGACAAGGAAAGGAAAAGAACTGCCTCAATAATTTTATACAAATGGAATAGACACAGAGGCAAAAAACAAGTAAAGAAAAAGGAGACGTTCGTCGACAGCAGGATTCGAACCTGCGCAGGCAAAGCCCAACAGATTTCGAGTCTGTCTCCTTAACCACTCGGACATATCGACGCTGTGTGGTTTTACTTTTGGAAATAAAAATTATTATTTAAAATTAAGGAAAGTGTACCTCCCAGCAATGGGCTCAATCACATTTTTCTTCCAAATTGACCGTAGACTTTAAAAGGATTTGTACGTGAAAAACCATGGAATGTGATTTCCATTCTACTCCTAATAAATTAGCAGTGATCATGCAAACCCTTCGAAAGGGTATCAATTTGTCAACCTTTGTCTTCCAAATTGTATGTCCTGGTTGCAACTGCAACATCTCAACAAAATTAGGAGTGATCATTGCCAGTTTCGATTCCATTTCGTCTTCACAAACTAAACTAGAAGTGCCTGTTCCTTCTTAGTTTCATTAGACATATGTTTCTCTGACCTTCGTGTTTAAGAGCATTCTTGACTCGTGTTCGCATAGAAGAACATGTTGCTCGTGTTCTTCAAGAACAAGAGAGCACTCAATAAAAAGTATAGATGTATCTATTTAATCCGTTAGACTCTGAAGATTCGTGGGTGAACACCATCAATGAAATGAAAGCACTAGGTAGACTGCAAAAATTCCTCTAAGCTACCAGCGGAACCGAGAAAAGAATGTGAATTCTTACATGAAAATAATTCGAGCATGGAAGAGAAACAAGGAACTGGAATCTGGAGTGACTGAACTTGAAGGCGGGTTTGAAGCAAGCAGAGCTGAATCTAGCTCAATTAAGATTTATCCTTGCTTAAAGAATCCAAGAGGATCCAGAAATAAAGACTCGTATGACTGTACAATTATAAAACCGCTGGGGACGAATTTGCTACATGGCAAAAGTCAAATGGTACACAGAAATCATCTGCAGATGGTCCTTGTTTTGAAATGCTGACCCGGTCGAATCAGATCCCTCTGAAACATGCATCAGCTGCAGCAAAATTGCAAGTACTCATGAGATAATTTCTTACCGCTACAATGAAAGCAGAATGGAAGCTTCTATAATGGAAGCTGATATGAGCACTACATAGTGTTGACATAAGATCTTTTTCATTTGGAACAGCCTTCTCATTAGCAAGGTACAACTGGCTTTTTAAAACATGCCAAAAATAATGGCCTTTCTGTTGATCATCACATTGCAAAGAAAACTGTGAAATGTAGGATAGGTGCCTCTTATTTGTACAGCACTGGCCTAAAAGCCAAAATTCGTCTCTTCTTAATCCTCAAGATAGATCACAAGGAACAAATGTAGCTAATCTTCTTTACCAGTTCAAATGAAGAGCTCATAAGTATGACTACCATGCCCAGCAGATTTCTGTCCTTTAAAATGGTGGGATGCATCGATCTAACTTTGTCTGCTATGACAACTTGAAGTTTATTTATGTTTAATTGTCAAGAAAAACATCCAATTACTTTATTGGACCAATTCCAATGATGTCTTTCATCTCCAGAACAACAATCCACAATTGAATACATCCAGACATATCGTGAAAAGGTACATGGAGAATAGAGATAGTAGAAATTGCATTACCTTGAAGTATCAATTGAACAACTTTCCCACCACAAACTGCTATGTCAGTGAGGCAGTGGCATTGAGATAACTCTTTGTCAACCAACTCTGTGGATAAAAGTAACTAGATGGATCCACATGAAGATGCCAAACCATCACCCTTGAGCACTTGTGGAGTAAGCCTTCCATCTCGCTCTCATCCTCCACAATTTGTTCAACTAATGTGCTCACCTGGACATGTAGATCATATTTTAAAACCTCGGTCATCACAGATGAGTCAAGAAAATACATTCAGGGAATTTCGGTCTTGAAGTTTGAACTCTAGGGGTCGAGAAAACAACACTTCCATTATATGAAATTGTACTTGAATATAGTCCAAGTCCATATGTCATGAACCCAGATAGGGGCTAGTTTTGTTTCATTGGATTGTGAGATTCAGCTGGAGATGGTATCTGACATGTTCATAAGAATAGCAATATGGTGCTACATGACTTGATCAGAGCAACAGAAGGGAAAGGACAATTACCCGGAATTTATCTTTTGGCGTGTCAAACTGCCTGATGGGTTCAAGGGTGGGTCTGTGCCATCTCTTGGGATCCCAAAGTATTGTGCTATTGAAGGCAAATCCTGATAATTCGGCATAAAATCTTTTGAATCCCCTTCTTGATTCATTTGTATGCCACCCAAGTACAGTAGTGCCATTACAAATGGGACCCTCCAATACAGCTCTGCTTCTGCTATCTGTTACTTTGGCCACCAGCCAAGTTCCAAAGCGCCTACGTTAAGGAAGGAAAAGGTTGAGCTAGAACAGAGCACGGAGAAGGAGATTGCAGTGACAACCTTAGAAAAGAAAGTTTAGCAGGGTTTTAGATAAAAGTAGGACATTGCAAAAGGGAGCATCTTAATAAAAAGATGGAGAGAGACAGTTCATCCATCAATTCCAATTGCCATGCTAGTCAATATATGGAAAGCCTTTTATTATGGACAACTATGTGGATCTAAATGTGGATGAGGTACATAAACAGTCCAAAAAGAGGTGCAGATCTTGATGGTCAAACAACCATTAAAGTTCCTCTTGCTTCTCTTTCTTTAGTAGTCCAATTCTAGATTTAGACATAGCCATATCACTACAAATTCAGGAGGATCTCCCTGATAGAACCATGAATTACCAAAGTATTGCTGCTAGAAAAGAAAAATGCAGAATTTTTCGTAGACGAGAATAATGAAAGTACCTAATTTGCCTCATTTGATCAAATAGATCAGCCGCATAGATATTATCCTCATCTGCGAAGAAAACTATTCCATCAAGATGGTGTGCTTCGATGTGAGATAACGCCACATTCCTTTGGTGAATTCTTACATCTGTGACCTCGGTCAGATTTTTATCGCACACGAGATGCCGATACATGATACCAGTCTTCCTCAAGATGTCAGCTGTTTCTGGAGACTGCACGGTCATCTCCACAACTATCCACAACAAAGGAGGTGGTACGAGCTTCAGAGTCTGCGCCAGACGATTAAGATAATAGGCTTGAAGCAGGTGTCTCTGTGTCGGGGTCACCACAATCAGAAGCTTCTGAATTTCCGCATGTGCATATTTAGTAGCCGATTCATTATTACTGCCATTTTGGGCAATCAAATACAACAGCTGCTGATGTGATTGTAGCCGCAAGGTAGAGTCATTCTCATTGCTCATACTGTAAAATGGTGTCACATTTCTAGCTGCATCATCGTGTAACTGGTTATTCCTGAAACTTGTGCTCAGCTCAAAGGATATGGCATGGTGCTTCGAAATGAAGTTCATCGATGCATTCATTGAGGCATACTGGGTAACTCCAATGAACATCCCAATGATGAAACTAATGAAGAAATGAAATAATGCCCTTCTCCAAGTTTGCCCTCTCGGTTTTTGTCTATCGTAAGGCCTAGAGGGTCGTTGAGAGAAAACTCTAAGTGCAAAAGCCAGAGAATCCAATGAACCCACCAAAATTGACAGTATTCCACCTGATGGTGTTTGATTCGGGGTCAGGGCACAAGAAGATGACTTGGACAATGGAGATGAAACTGAACAGGCTTCACCATTTAGCGAAATTCCAGGTCGAGGAACGGGAGACAAGGTCCTTCTAATGGATGCCATAGTGAAAATTCGGTCAAAGGTTCAATGGCTTCAATCTCCAGCTTCCTGTAAGGGCTACGTGAACGAGCAATTGCAACCAACCAAACACCATCTAATGTGACCCTATTTTTATGAACTACTTTGAACCAACAATGAAGTCCTGGCCGTCTTTTTTAGCGCAAGAATCTTAAATCAACACCTAAGTACCCCTGAATCAATAGCCCAAATAACTCAACCAGATAAACACACAAATCAACCTGTAGCCTATCGTGCTGGCACTGAAAAAAGGTCAAATTTTCTGCCTTCCTGAGGACACCATCCCAAGCCAATTGTGCTCATACAATTCGTGAACTGCCAATCGAAATCAACATATAATTGCCTCCGCATTCTTGAGTTTCCATTCACTCACATCTCAAGCAAAAATTCTTGCAAACCCACTTCACTTCGGAGTTGCAGCTCTCAATTAAGGGACTAGGAAGTTTTGAGCTTTAACTGACCTCTTAAACCAGCTAGAATCACCAAGAACAGCAAGCCCAAAACTCCCAGAAGCAAATCTCAAATCAAAACAAACAGACCCACAAAACCATAGACAAGCACCAAAATCTGCAGTTCAGCAACCGAAAAGATCTACATTCCGTACCTCGACTTAAATCAGTGACACCCAACACTTAAAAACACTTGGGTCACCTCAAGAATCAGCAAGAAGATGGGTAAAATCCGAAACAGAACAGCCCTTGGAGCAAGAGAAAAGGCAAGTCTCCGGCTCCCGGAGCTTCGGATCTTTCTTCTACGGTCTTGCGGAAGCTTGTTCCAATGGCTCGAAACCAAGACGGAGAGGCCCCTGAGAGCCAAAGGTGCTTCCTTTCGAATCTACAGGCGAGAAAGCATGGTTCTTGAAAGCGGGGTCGAAGCCGGACAGTATGGTTCAGCCAATCACGTTTGATTCGGACAGGGAGATGATTTTCCTTTCCTTATTTTTTCTTTTTCTTTTTTTGGGTTCTCGTCTGTTCACGTGACCAATTGGATCGGGGATCTGAAAAAGCAGCTGTGTTTCCCTGCCGGGTTAACATGGCAAGCATTTTCTTGGAGATTAGGACCAATTGGCATCCCCGTACCAAATTAAGGAATGTCTTGTCCAAAAGAAACAGAGGTTGTCTTGATTTTCATTTGAGCCGTCTCATATTCTTAGTTGGCTAAAGAGAAAGCCATATCTAGAGTGCGTTTAGTTCAACTTTTGGGGAAAATCTTTGGGAAAATGCAAAGATCTTGAGCCTAAAATGATTTGGTGAAATGCAAAAATTGTTAAGCAAATTGTAATTAAATTGAATTTCTATTTGAATGAGATGTATGTTGAGAACGCTTGAGTTACTTGAACAGCCAATATCACTTTGCCAAACTAAATGATATGACAGATTATGTGGAGGTCTATATAAGTCAGATTTCTGTGGAAAATGGTTGTGCTGCTTTAACACTCAACTAAATGAGTTTTGGGCTCTGCCAAGGCAACTTTAGATTTGGTCTAACGGGTTTCAAAAAAACATACCTTATCAATTTTCAATATAAGCTTTGCTGTCATTCCAGTTCCATATGAAATGAAGGCCTTTCTAGAGGAAATTTCTCGACAATTGTTAGTTTAGTCACATGGTAACTCCACAATGAGAAAGATACTTGAGGTGGAGGTTTACAAATCTGCAAGTTTTGGACAACCTGCGGTACACATGTCACGTTTCATGCTGTGCACAAAGAAGAAGAAAGGTTCCATAAGCAAAACGTAACCTCATGTCTGGTGCCGCTCGTCCTTCGTATGAATCGATTAACCAAAGAAAATTTTGAGAGCAAAAACTTTTCTCACATAGTAGTATATATATTTCCTTCCTAAGTTTATTACACAGTGCACTGAAAAGAAAGGATACAGAGGACTACAATGATTGAGAAGAAAAATTATTAAATACAAACTATGTGTTATCCATGAATCTAATGTTGGTTCGTATATGCTAGCTAGAGCTAATGAAACTATTGATGAAGATCATCTAAATCTTCTACAAAATTTTACTTTGTATCTTGAACTCCCATATAAACAACCATATGTATCAAGTACTTCCCTCTGCCAACTCTAATCTTAAATGTCTTGTGACTCAACTGAACCTCAAATCAGCCGGTGACAATCTCCTTTGCAATGCTCCTGGAACAGCGCTTCTTTAGTTTTCTTCGCCGGGAACTGCTTACCCTGCAGGACAACATGTCAATGAACTGTAATAAGACATCATAAGTTATGAGGAAAGATATGCCAAAAAAACATTGAAACGAGAGCGGTGATCCGTTATGACAAGATGCATGATGATAATGGTCATTGGCTGTTGGTTACTGGTGAATAAGGTCCACAAGCATAAATGAAAGTTACCTCTATACAATAGTTTACTTTGGAGATGGTACTCAGCAAAAGATTCACAAAATGTAATTGGTACAAACAATCTGTGCTCCAGTGGAGCAGCTCCAGGGCTTGTCCAATTATTATCTTCAAGGTCACATTCATTACGTGCCAAATTTAAGTTAATCAAACATTCTAAAATTTACTCACCAATACTGATTATGCAATATGAAAGAGTCTGTTGCCACCTTTTTCCCATCATCATTTCGATTCCAATGGTAAAATGCATGAGTCCTGTTTTTTATTTCCAAAGTAGAATGGCCATAACTGGCCTCACGAAATGCAGAATAGTCTGGTTGTGGATCACTAAACCTGTAATAGTAATGTAATTACATAATGAATATGCAATGGAGGAAATCTCTTGGAAAATGATCATCAGAATTTCTACCTTTGGCAATCTATAAAAGAATTGCACATAAGATGTCCAACTTACCTTCCAGCAAGGCCTTCCTGATTACCTCCATCTCCAACAGTAATATATAGAGGTGCAAATTTATCTGGTACAGGGTCACGATCACCACTACTGACATTGTATTGTATATTTGAGATCCGATACTGAAAATCAACAAATCCACTTCAGTCAGTAAAACAGGCAAACACAAGATGTAGTACAAAACCGGTATGATAGAAACATCAACACGAGTAAAGTAGGTCTTTGTTTTTTTTCAAGGACAATAGTAAGTCTTCGGTTTTGTCAAGGACAACACTTGAGATACTTTTGCACACTCAACTAAGATTATATAGAGTGGCTTCCGTAGAACAACAAACCTAGTATTTCTTGCCATCAAATGGAAGTAGAAAGTCCGACTAAATAAAGTAGAAGGAACTGTTCTTATTTGAGGGATATATCACATTTGATTATTCACCAGAAATCCTACATATGTACCAACTACACATCAAAGTATATAGTAGGGGCCATGTGAACAGAGATTCGAATTTATCGTGGAAACCAAAAGAAATGTTATTGCATAACAGAATATTGTATAGAAAAATTAATTTTACTATCTTACAACTCATATAAAACAAACATTAATCAGCTTTTATTATAAATATAAACACATCAAGAAATACTTGTGTCATTTTGCTTTTGAACAGCGATGAGGCTTTTTACATTTTACTTCACACACGTAACTTTGCCGAAGTCTGTGATTTCCTATTACTACTAAGGTTACAGACAGACCATCCAACCATGATCTGGAGAAAATTCATCTAAAGTAAATTTGTTTGTAATCCCATGTGCAACCTCAGATTCTGACAGACACAAGGAGTCCTCAGAAATAAAAACATTATAAATCACTGTGACAGTGCAAGTATCTGCAGCATCTGAAAGTAAACGTAAGTATGAATAGATGAACTCGCCAGACAAGAACCCTACCGATCTTTCATAAGCATGAACATGCCCAGCAAAAACAATATCAACTCTGTTACGAACAAACCACTTTTCAAACACTGCTCTCATGCCTTCACCCTCCATGAAGTGTACATCATTGCTATTGTACAAAGGAACATGCATCAGAACAATAAGCCAAGGTGTCTTTTCTCTGTCTACCCTTTTAAATTCTTCTCGCAGCCACATCCACTGAAGTGTGTATTTCACTGTTCAAAATTACAATCAATCAGTCCCAACATGCAGAGAAAGGTAGCAATAGAGCAGCATTTGTCGGATGTAGTATTAAACATGGATTATTAATTATTGGAGGAAACAGTTTGAATTTTCCACCATCTTGGTTTAGCCGGTTCAAATTAGCAGATGTTAACTTCTCTCACAAAATCTTTTTGGTGTTGGAACTCGTTATTCTGTTTCTTTTATGCCTTTTTATTTGCCAAAGTTTATATTCTTGACATTAAAGGACCTCAATTTGCTATATGAGAACGAAATTAGGTAGGGAACGAAATGAAAAAGAAGAACTACCAAAGGAAGAGTAGCTTGAAAGCACGATTACGTGGGCAGAAGCTCGTCTGATGGCATACCAAAGAGGACTGGTGCTTTTCGAGGCCAAATAAGGTGTTGGATATCGATGCAGATAGGATTTGAATGTATCAATCTCCTCCTTCACTTACATTGAAAAAGCATGTTAGGACGAAAGAATCGCAAAAAGGATTAGTAGCAGATATTACAGACATAGATGATCTCCCACACACTATAGAAAGCCTAGGAATTCGAGTCTTCCAAAAGCATGCTGCTTTTTTAAGTTGCAGGACCGAATACAGCTTAACACTCAAGGAGTTTCTTAGACATTGTTAGTTTTGCATCAGAAAGACCTATATGGTTCTTTGAGTTCCCATTAATAATTCATTTTTATATACTACAATGACAATCTTGTTTCTACAAAAGAACATCTCGTTAAAAAGCAGCACATTAGTTTCACTGAACATTATACACAGTTTGCCTTCTTATAGTCCTCCGTGATAAATAAATAAGCTGCTTGGGGCAGATATTCTTTTACTTATAACCTCTACTAATGACTTTTCCTCCAAAATTTGAAAATGAAAGATAAAACTCATGGAAAAGAAGTATAAATGATTCTACATGTCAATAAAGGTTTCAAGTGTTTCATGTTATATAAAATTCGAAGTATGAGTGCCACAAAATGCATAAAAAGTTAATGGTTAAAAGTAGAAGTCATCCCAAACCGAAAAGTGAGACACAAAAATGGTACATTAAAAAAGCACATGTGTGAAGATACTTTACCATGTCAGGCATATATTCTATTTCATGGTTCCCAGCACACCAGATCCATGGCTGAAATGCCGCACTTTGTTCAATAAAGCGACCCCATGTGTCCCATCTTAGCCCAACATCATTGTACTTGTATCTATCAGCATAAGAAAGATCCCCCAAAAACAAGACTGCCTGTGCTCCACTCACCATATAATGCTGAAGAGTTGAAAGCGAATTATGAGTCTGGCCCAGATCACCTGCGACATGCATATCATTGCAAAATAATATAATCTTGTACTTTCCAATATCTTCTATACAGGCCAGAGATAGCAAAGAACTAGAAAATGCGTACAATTGAGATTGATTGACAGATTTGCGCCTACAAGTGGAAGGCAGGTTTAAAATAGAAAGTAGAAAAATTGTGATAAACAGGAAAATGTTTCTCTTATAAGCAAAAGTCTCTGTAGGATTTTTATTCCATAGGAGTGTCTAATTTGCCTCTGTCATTTTAGCCCCCACCCACAACCCTCTCCCACTCAGGGCTCTCGCAGTCCGGTCTAGGAGATACTACCTTAATGCAACATCAAGTGACAATCCACTCTGTGATTGAGAACCTACATATTGAGCTGTTTTAATTATCAATACTAATCAAGATTCTGATTTTTTGATGAACTGAAACAATACACAGTCCATATAAGCCCAAACCAATCTCCCTCTGTCCAATACGGCTACTGAGACTCTGAAAACAGATGCGTAGCTTACCAATTATTCCGAACTTGTATGAAGCATCTGGGTCAATTGTTGGTGGTGTTTGAAACCAAAACTCTCGAGAAGAAACACCACTTCCTACTTTGTAATAGTACTTGGTATCATACTGTAGGCAGCAAATAAACAATTTTAAGAGAATTTAAATTAGAGATTGTCCGCCAACTAGTGAAACAACTAGAATATATTAAAATCTTTACTGAACCTGTGGTCTATGAAACTTAAATGATGATCCCACAAATTGTCAATTCACAGATAATCAAATAGAGGATCACCTCAAGGCCATCAAGCAGGCAACGATGGATGTAGCCAGATTTATACTTGTAAAAAGTGTAGCTTGTACCATTTCCTTCAGCAGAACGATCATACTGCCCCTTTGTGGTGCCATACTGTACCTCACTGGATCCTGGTTCATCAGATGTGACCCATGATATAATGACAGCCTTTCCATCATAGTCACCTTGGGTGATATGAACCTGCAAAAGAAGGAAAAGGGTTATGACATGGGAAAGACTGAAACAAGCTAAATAAATCCTCTTAAAAATCGATTCAAGGTGAACGGAACAAGCTAATGAATTCTTCACAGGAATATCCTGATAGAACGTAATCTAATTGAGCGCAGAAATTTATAAAGATGACCCAAGGTGAGTAGCGCCTTTTTCATGATGATAAATAAGATTTCATTAAGAAGGTACCAAGGGGGTACCGCCCCTACACAAAACGGCTTCAAGTGGAAGCCACCCATATTCCAAATAAGGCACAAAAGACTGTTTACTAACATTGCCAACAAACTCGATGTAGAATTGAACTTTTCTGCTGTACCAAAAGTGAAGAGTGTACAGCCAATCATCCCTAAAAGAAACCCAAGAGGATTCAACTCCTTGAAATGTCCTTTTGTTCCTCTGTATCCAAGGAGCCAAAGAAAGGGAGAGAACCAGCTTAGTAATCTGTTTTTTTCCAACACACAAACTGAATTTCCCTCTTCAAGCCCAAAGTTCGTGCCGCACGGTGCCTGAGCTTACTCAATTTACTTCTAAAATTGCAAAAATGGTAATCTGAATCTTTCTGGTATAGCTACAACTTAAAAGTAAGTCTTTCACCCTCTCTTCTTCAACACAGCTTAGGTTTCGACATAACTTCATCAAATTAACGTATCTCGTATGTAAACAAAAAGAATTTACTGTAGGCAAGATGCAAACAAAGAAAGAACGAGATTTCAATGTAGATAAACAATGTGAACCATTGTCTTGTCGCATGATCATCGTTTTTCTCAACACTACCAAATGTTCAAAGGAAATTGCAGATAGAAACTTCCAGAAAAGTCAAACAGCGTCAAAAGTTTGAATGCTCACTTGTTGTGGTGCATTGTGACCCTTTGGAACTGCAAAAACTTCATTATCAAGAGGAATGTCAACTGATGGCCACTGTGATCGAACGAAAGTACTAGTGATTCCAGCAAATGTATTCTCCAAATAGCTTAGGAGGACGAAGAATATTGAAATGAGGCGAAGGAAGGACCGCATTCTAGAAGTCCTCAGCTTAATTGATGATTAATTAGCTGACAAGTATAATTTATTGCATCCTAAAGAAGATCCATCAAAGAAAAAGTCCATCAATAATCTTAAGAATAAATTGTATATGAGAGACATGACATTGCAACCTTGAAATGAATGCTGGTTAAGGAATCCGACGTGTCCCCTCCCCTCCCCACACCCCCCCACCCCAAAAAAAAAAAAAAAAAGAAAAAATATCCTCTTATGCATGCAATTAAACTTAAAATTCCTTATGAAAGGCAGTACATTTTACAATTAACTTACATCATAAATTGCTGCTATGTACCAAACTCATAATTAGCATGCATCTTGACTTAGAAGTCTTCGTCAAAAAATGGATAAACACTGGTAACCGCAATGCTTAATCTCTTTATTTAAATACGTATTACTCAATCATCAAGTTTCTTAGTAGATTGCGCCAATTATCAAAGCATATCCACTCCAAACAAACCAAAAGAAAAGAGGAGAGAGAGTTTTCGGATACTCTCAAAATCTGAATTACTCAGAGTTCTCATATAATGCTTCGAAGGTTAAATTATTCTCCTTTCCCTTTCTTCCCCCCTTTCGAAGTGAGATTGACCAGCATCAGTCGTTCAGGCCACTCCGGATGAACTGGAAAAATAGGTCCATAACGACACACATTACGATCATCAACATCGATCTCCATAACTTTTTTTAAGCAGGACGGAAACATGGTTATCGAAAATGAAAATTTCTTATTCAATATAGCAAGCGCAAGTAGGCACATTCATTAGAGTCGATTGCATGTTTAACGATTCACATTCTCACTTTAGACCTTACTTAGTCACCCTATACAGGAGAATATACAGAACTAATGGAAGTCCATTCTTCACTTTAGAGCTTATTTTAGTCCCGATAAAATGACGACAACAACAACGCCATTCTCCACTAGTGTGGTCAGCAATGGAGATCCATTACGACAGGTAAACACCAGAGCAAGTTTTCAGACAAGAACAAAGAAACCTCCGTTCTCGCTATATCACAAGACTATTACCAGCAGCAGCGCCCTATACTTAGTGCGAGCGCACCACCGTGATCGATTCAAGAAAAGAACATAGTCAAAGACGATATTTTGTTTCGAGGTAATCGAACAAGAGCCACCGTTTGACAGAGCAACCAGGTCTACTCTTCGTTAGCAGGTTGACCATCAAATTCCCTCACTCCCTCTCCATATCCACGCATCGCTCCACCCGAGAACGCTCAATTCAGCAATGAGAACGTCCACATTCGCGTCGTTCCTCCTTCAAATTCCGCAATGCCCCATATCTCGATCCTCTCGCGCCAGCAAATCGCCTCAACTCACAAGTCAAACCCAGGCACACCAAGACCGAGACCATGGACTCAGCATCTTTCCAAACTCAAGTCAACGAACGCACGATCCGAACTCGATTCATCCGACACATGACACGCTCGTTCGTTGCCAGAATCAAAATGAAAAATCACTTCCGGGGATGGATATGCCCATGCGATGAGCCGACACAGCGAGGCGAGAGCGCGAGCTGCTTACCTTGCGACCGGAGAGCTCGGCGAGACCGAGCGCGACGGAATCGGGAAACGTCGATCCGGCGAAAAGGAAGGCGCGCGGGGGTTCTGAGGAGAGAAAACCTGCGGGATGTTGGGAGCTGCTTCACCTTCACCGGTTGTTGAGTGGAGGAGGAGAGACAGGGACGTCGGAGCTTGAAGACGGCGTAGGTTAGCGGGCAGATGAGGTGGCGCGGCGTAGGTTAGCGCTTGGAGCCGCGGGTTTTTGGCCGTGTCCGGTTCGATACCGGGGGCGCACCTAGTACGCCGGAACATGAGGCGGTCGATGCGGGCGCACGTGCCGGGATTTCCCTGGCAAATTGCTCGGCAATCCGTAATACCATACCATCCTTTTCTCTTTAGATTTTTCCCGAGTATATAGCGTTGTAGGTTGCGTCGTCGTGACCAATCGTACCACGCGCTATACAGGCGGGGACATCCAATCCCTCGAGTAAAACATGCAGAACGCTTCTAAACAAATATATGTCTGTGCCAGCATCCGAAGAGCGGTATCCACTTCCTACCATCCACCGATTTTGCTTTCGAAGATTTCCCGAAAAAGGAAAAAAGAATGATCATCATCACATCGCATCCCAAGATTTTAAGCACAGGCAATGCGACGCCATTCTCTTGACCCAGTTTCATTATCCTTTCACATCCCTCACATCCACCTTGATACGACGGAGCATCACTGTAGCACTTATATAACCAAGAAAGAAATCGGACTATGACAAATGATAAGACCACACATGGATTGGTGGTAATCGCTAATCATTGCTCTTTGTCGCTGATAAGTTTGCCACAGATATATCAGTTTGAAATTTTTCGTAGTATTAACCCATAATTTTTTTTTTATGGTTTCAAATGTACTGCTTGTGTTATGCGATATTAATATTTTGAAAATCAAAAACATTTCACAATAAATATGCTTAACAATTATCTCGACGATACTCATCATCAATGGTATCTCTCGGTCTAGGGCGAGAGCATGAGATCCCAATCGACTTTTCCCGAGAATTGAGAATATCCAGGTCCACATCATAAGTTGAGGAGGAAAATTGTTCAAAAAGTTTTAAATCTATTGCACTTTTGTCAATTCAATCATAAACTTTTCAATTTTAACATGATTTGCCAATTGAGTCCATTCGATTAATTTTAATCGGAAATTGCTGACGTGGACGCCGGACATCCTATGTCACATCCCGATTTTTGGGCCTGGGAACCCGCAGGTAAATTGTAATATCCTCAATTTCAGTTCTAGGGAAAAGGGCTATGGTTTAAGTTTGGTGGTTTTCCAATTGGAACTAATTTTTACTCTTGTTTTGGAAAACCCAGTTTCGGATCTTTTGTACCCCTTCATTTTGTTATTTTTGGGGAGATTTTTGTGATCCAAATTTCCAAATACTTTCTTCTTGAAAGTTGTTCCAAACATCTTGATGTTTTAGATACTTTAATTTCAGAATTTTTGGAGTTGATATGAGTGGTACGATGGCCTGATTTTCGGACCGTGTGAAACTGCCCAGAATGGGTATTTCGGTGATGTTCACAACGTATTTATTTTCTACAAGATTTTCTGGGCCGATTTTGGAAAAGTTTCCTCCATAACAGTTGTTGAGAACGTCCTTTTATATAACGTATATAAATTTGGGAATTTTCCGAGATGATTTGGATTCTGGACATAGCTTAATTTGAGAAACAAGAATGCTGTTCCAGCGAACAGTTTTTAGTCTGTTTTTGAGCTACTAAAAATGGGGTTTACAGAGAGATTAAGATTTCGTGTTCTCATGAAGAATTTTTTTTAAGGTCTTGTTTATGACATATTAAAATTTGAGAATTTTCGGAGTCCATTTACTATGTTTTCAAGTCCAATTTCGTGAACAATGCAAAGCTGTCCCGTTTTGTCAGATTTCAAAGATTCGACATTTTCTATACGAGAACGTTGGAATTTGGACTTGGTGTCTTCTGGTTATTTAAAGTACACGTTCCGAGCTTTCAAATGAGATATTTTATGCTATTATTAGAGGTCGGCCCAGGGGGAAACCGAGAGAGAGAAGCAAGCTTGGAATTGGAGGATTCTAGAGAAATCAAAACTTGAAGTCCAAGTTGGAAATGCATGAGGCTTGTTCAAGAAGACTAATTAAATGATCTTGACTTTGGAGTCCCTATCATGATGGCATGCCTTAATGGCCTTGAGTGATGACCAAGTTTGGAGTATGATAAATAGGGAAGCCGTGAGAAAAGCTATTTGGCCAGCTTAGGGAGAGAGAGAGACCCACGGCCAATGGGTCAGGAGAGAGAAAGGAAGAATAATTGGCCATTTTCATCATTATTCTTGACTTTTGGATTTAGACCATTATTGGGTGGATGACACGTGCGCTTACCTCATGCTCCATGATGACACGTGCGCTTACCTCATCCAAACTTTGGCCCCAAGTTTTGTCTCTCAATAAATAGAAAGAAGGCCATTCGGCCAAAGTGAAAAAAGAGAGAGAGGGAGAACCTCACCTGAAGCCCCCCCTTCCTCTCCCTCACGCCATTTCCACGCCCCGAGAGCTCCGGCCAACCTTCTTTCTTATTTCTTGCTTTGTATTCATGACCGAGAAAGAGAGAAAAAGAAAGAAAGAAAGAGAGAAAAAGCTTACCCACTAGCCCGTGTCTCTCTCTTGTGGTTTGATCGAGTGAGGAAGCCTTATGCAAGGCCCGAGTGTTCGTGTTCAAGCCCAAGAATCGCCCGAGAATCGCCGAGACTCACGTGTCCTTCACACGCCTCGTTTTCTCTAGTTCTTGTTTAATTGTTGAGTAAGTGAATTCCCTAATATCGGGAAAGGATGTTGAGATGCGTTGTGATGTGGTTTGCTTGGGCCGTTTCTCGGTTGTTTGGTTGGTCGTAGTTGGTTCATTTTTCGATTTGATCATGTTTCATGTTTGATGTTGTTTTGAGATAGAACCGAGCCTTGGTTTGTAAAGTGTGCACGATGTGGCCATGCGTGATGTTATCTTGTTTGAACTTTGCTATTGATCTGCCATCGACGCCGGTGCGGTAAGGGCCGACTCATGTTAACGGCGATCGATTTGTCCTCACTTGACATTAGTGTTTTCACTTGCTGAGTCTCCCCGACTCATCCCCCATTTTTGCCTCTCAGGTCCATAGGATGGTCGAATGGACGGCGGCGACAGGAGGAGTTTGAGCCATGTTGGAGTTCGGGGAAAGCTAGGAGCGGTGAATCCGAAGTAGTGGGCTTAGGACACCCAAGCCACTCGTTATTGTTGTGTAAATGGCTAAAATCGGCTAAGTTGGCTTGTAAAATATGTTTGCGTGTCCTATAAATACAAGGTTTCCTCATGATGCTGTTTTTCTGAATCCCGCTCTTTGTTTAAAATGTGATTGTCCCGAGATATGCTTCCGCTTGTGTGTAAAGAAAGATAATAATGAACGGGACGTCACGTTAAGGACCCCGAGGTCGGGGCGTTACAGTTTAATTTTGTTTATGACATATTAAAATTTGAGAATTTTCGGAGTCCATTTACTATGTTTTCATGTCCAATTTCGTGAACAGTGCAAAGCTGTCCGGTTTTGTCAGATTTCAAAGATTCGGCATTTTCTATACGAGAACGTTGGAATTTGGACTTGGTGTTTTCTGGTTATTTAAAGTACACGTTCCGAGCTTTCTAATGAGATATTTTATGCTATTATTAGAGGTCGGCCCAGGGGGAAACCGAGAGAGAGAATCAAGCTTGGAATTGGACGATTCTAGAGAAATCAAAACTTGAAGCACAAGTTGGAAATGAATGAGGCTTGTTCAAGAAGCCTAATTAAATGATCTTGACTTTGGAGTCCCTATCATGATGGCATGCCTTAATGGCCTGGAGTGATGACCAAGTTTGGAGTATGACAAATGGGGAAGCCGTGAGAAAGGCCATTCGGCCAGCTTAGGGAGAGAGAGACCCACGGCCAATGGGTGAGGAGAGAGAAAGGAAGAATAATTGGCCATTTTCATCATTATTCTTGACTTTTGGATTTAGGCCATTATTGGGTGGATGACACGTGCGCTTACCTCATGCTCCATGATAACACGTGCGCTTACCTCATCCAAACTTTGGCCCCAAGTTTTGTCTCTCTATAAATAGAAAGAAGGCCATTCGGCCAAAGAGAAAAAAGAGAGAGAGGAAGAACCTCACGTGAAGCCCCCCTTCCTCTCCTTCACGCCATTTCCACACCCCGAGAGCTCCGGCCAACCTTCTTTCTTATTTCTTGCTTTGTATTCGTGACCGAGAAAGAGAGAAAAAGAAAGAAAGAAAGAGAGAAAAAGCTTACCGACTAGCCCGTGTCTCTCTCTTGTGGTTTGATCGAGTGAGGAAGCCTTATGCAAGGCCCGAGTGTTCGTGTTCAAGCCCAAGAATCGCCCGAGAATCGCCGAGACTCACGTGTCCTTCACACGCCTCATTTTCTCTTGTTTTTGTTTAATTGTTGAGTAAGTGAATTCGCTAATATCGAGAAAGGATGTTGAGATGCGTTGTGACGCGGTATGTTTGGGCCGTTTCTCGGTTGTTTGGTTGGTCGTAGTTGGTTCATTTCTCGATTCGATCATGTTTCATGTTTGATGTTGTTTTGAGATAGAACCGAGCCTTGGTTTGTAAAGTGTGCACGATGTGGCCATGCGTGATGTTCTCTTGTTTGAACTTTGCTATTGATCTGCCATCGACGCCGGTGCGGTAAGGGCCGACTCATGTTAACGGCGATCGATTTATGCTCACTTGTCATTAGTGTTTTCACTTGCTGAGTCTCCCCGACTCATCCCCCATTTTTGCCTCTCAGGTCCATAGGATGGTCGAATGGACGGCGGCGACAGGAGGAGTTTGAGCCATGTTGGAGTTCGGGGAAAGCTAGGAGCGGTGAATCCGAAGTAGTGGGCTTAGGACACCCAAGCCACTTGTTATTGTTGTGTAAATGGCCAAAATCGGCTAAGTTGGCTTGTAAAATATATTTGCGTGTCCTATAAATATAAGGTTTGCTCATGATGCTGTTTTTCTGAATCCCGCTGTTTGTTTAAAATGTGATTGTCCCGAGATATGCTTCCGCTTGTGTGTAAAGAAAGATAATAATGAACGGGACGTCA